AACCTCTGACTGTTGTTTTGTACATAGTAGCTCAGAGTGTTACCACTACCAGTCTCTGACAGTTGTTTTGCTGCAGTGTTGCCAACCTCTGACTGTTGTTTTGTACATAGTAACTCAGAGGAGAGTGTTACCACTACCAGTATCTGACAGTTGTTTTGCTGCAGTGTTGCCAACCTCTGACTGTTGTTTTGTACATAGTAGCTCAGAGTGTTACCACTACCAGTCTCTGACAGTTGTTTGGTTGCAGCAGTGTTGCCAACCTCTGACTGTTGTTTTGTACATAGTAGCTCAGAGTGTTACCACTACCAGTCTCTGACAGTTGTTTTGTTGCAGCAGTGTTGCCAACCTCTGACTGTTGTTTTGTACATGTAGTAGCTCTGAGGAGAGTGTTACCACTACCAGTCTCTGACAGTTGTTTGGTTGCAGCAGTGTTGCCAACCTCTGACTGTTGTTTTGTACATAGTAGCTCAGAGTGTTACCACTACCAGTCTCTGACAGTTGTTTTGTTGCAGCAGTGTTGCCAACCTCTGACTGTTGTTTTGTACATAGTAACTCAGAGGAGAGTGTTACCACTACCAGTATCTGACAGTTGTTTTGCTGCAGTGTTGCCAACCTCTGACTGTTGTTTTGTACATGTAGTAGCTCAGAGTGTTACCACTACCAGTCTCTGACAGTTGTTTGGTTGCAGCAGTGTTGCCAACCTCTGACTGTTGTTTTGTACATAGTAGCTCAGAGTGTTACCACTACCAGTCTCTGACAGTTGTTTTGTTGCAGCAGTGTTGCCAACCTCTGACTGTTGTTTTGTACATAGTAGCTCAGAGTGTTACCACTACCAGTCTCTGACAGTTGTTTTGTTGCAGCAGTGTTGCCAACCTCTGACTGTTGTTTTGTACATGTAGTAGCTCTGAGGAGAGTGTTACCACTACCAGTATCTGACAGTTGTTTTGTTGCTGCAGTGTTGCCAACCTCTGACTGTTGTTTTGTACATGTAGTAGCTCTGAGGAGAGTGTTACCACTACCAGTCTCTGACAGTTGTTTTGTTGCTGCAGTGTTGCCAACCTCTGACTGTTGTTTTGTTGCAGCAGTGTTGCCAACCTCTGACTGTTGTTTTGTACATGTAGTAGCTCTGAGGAGAGTGTTACCACTACCAGTATCTGACAGTTGTTTTGTTGCTGCAGTGTTGCCAACCTCTGACTGTTGTTTTGTACATAGTAGCTCAGAGTGTTACCACTACCAGTCTCTGACAGTTGTTTTGTTGCAGCAGTGTTGCCAACCTCTGACTGTTGTTTTGTACATGTAGTAGCTCTGAGGAGAGTGTTACCACTACCAGTCTCTGACAGTTGTTTTGTTGCTGCAGTGTTGCCAACCTCTGACTGTTGTTTTGTACATGTAGTAGCTCTGAGGAGAGTGTTACCACTACCAGTCTCTGACAGTTGTTTGGTTGCAGCAGTGTTGCCAACCTCTGACTGTTGTTTTGTACATAGTAGCTCAGAGTGTTACCACTACCAGTCTCTGACAGTTGTTTTGTTGCAGCAGTGTTGCCAACCTCTGACTGTTGTTTTGTACATAGTAGCTCAGAGTGTTACCACTACCAGTCTCTGACAGTTGTTTTGTTGCAGCAGTGTTGCCAACCTCTGACTGTTGTTTTGTACATGTAGTAGCTCAGAGTGTTACCACTACCAGTCTCTGACAGTTGTTTTGTTGCAGCAGTGTTGCCAACCTCTGACTGTTGTTTTGTACATAGTAGCTCAGAGTGTTACCACTACCAGTCTCTGACAGTTGTTTTGTTGCAGCAGTGTTGCCAACCTCTGACTGTTGTTTTGTACATGTAGTAGCTCAGAGGAGAGTGTTACCACTACCAGTCTCTGACAGTTGTTTGGTTGCAGCAGTGTTGCCAACCTCTGACTGTTGTTTTGTACATGTAGTAGCTCAGAGGAGAGTGTTACCACTACCAGTCTCTGACAGTTGTTTTGTTGCAGCAGTGTTGCCAACCTCTGACTGTTGTTTTGTACATAGTAACTCAGAGTGTTACCACTACCAGTCTCTGACAGTTGTTTTGTTGCAGCAGTGTTGCCAACCTCTGACTGTTGTTTTGTACATAGTAGCTCAGAGTGTTACCACTACCAGTCTCTGACAGTTGTTTTGTTGCAGCAGTGTTGCCAACCTCTGACTGTTGTTTTGTACATGTAGTAGCTCAGAGGAGAGTGTTACCACTACCAGTCTCTGACAGTTGTTTTGCTGCAGCAGTGTTGCCAACCTCTGACTGTTGTTTTGTACATAGTAACTCAGAGTGTTACCACTACCAGTCTCTGACAGTTGTTTTGTTGCAGCAGTGTTGCCAACCTCTGACTGTTGTTTTGTACATAGTAGCTCAGAGTGTTACCACTACCAGTCTCTGACAGTTGTTTTGTTGCAGCAGTGTTGCCAACCTCTGACTGTTGTTTTGTACATGTAGTAGCTCTGAGGAGAGTGTTACCACTACCAGTCTCTGACAGTTGTTTGGTTGCAGCAGTGTTGCCAACCTCTGACTGTTGTTTTGTACATAGTAGCTCAGAGTGTTACCACTACCAGTCTCTGACAGTTGTTTTGTTGCAGCAGTGTTGCCAACCTCTGACTGTTGTTTTGTACATAGTAGCTCAGAGTGTTACCACTACCAGTCTCTGACAGTTGTTTTGTTGCAGCAGTGTTGCCAACCTCTGACTGTTGTTTTGTACATAGTAGCTCAGAGGAGAGTGTTACCACTACCAGTCTCTGACAGTTGTTTTGTTGCAGCAGTGTTGCCAACCTCTGACTGTTGTTTTGTACATGTAGTAGCTCTGAGGAGAGTGTTACCACTACCAGTCTCTGACAGTTGTTTGGTTGCAGCAGTGTTGCCAACCTCTGACTGTTGTTTTGTACATAGTAGCTCAGAGGAGAGTGTTACCACTACCAGTCTCTGACAGTTGTTTTGTTGCAGCAGTGTTGCCAACCTCTGACTGTTGTTTTGTACATAGTAGCTCAGAGGAGAGTGTTACCACTACCAGTCTCTGACAGTTGTTTTGTTGCAGCAGTGTTGCCAACCTCTGACTGTTGTTTTGTACATAGTAGCTCAGAGTGTTACCACTACCAGTCTCTGACAGTTGTTTGGTTGCAGCAGTGTTGCCAACCTCTGACTGTTGTTTTGTACATAGTAGCTCAGAGTGTTACCACTACCAGTCTCTGACAGTTGTTTTGTTGCAGCAGTGTTGCCAACCTCTGACTGTTGTTTTGTACATAGTAGCTCAGAGGAGAGTGTTACCACTACCAGTCTCTGACAGTTGTTTTGTTGCAGCAGTGTTGCCAACCTCTGACTGTTGTTTTGTACATAGTAGCTCAGAGGAGAGTGTTACCACTACCAGTCTCTGACAGTTGTTTTGTTGCAGCAGTGTTGCCAACCTCTGACTGTTGTTTTGTACATAGTAGCTCAGAGGAGAGTGTTACCACTACCAGTCTCTGACAGTTGTTTGGTTGCAGCAGTGTTGCCAACCTCTGACTGTTGTTTTGTACATGTAGTAGCTCAGAGGAGAGTGTTACCACTACCAGTCTCTGACAGTTGTTTGGTTGCAGCAGTGTTGCCAACCTCTGACTGTTGTTTTGTACATAGTAGCTCAGAGGAGAGTGTTACCACTACCAGTCTCTGACAGTTGTTTTGTTGCAGCAGTGTTGCCAACCTCTGACTGTTGTTTTGTACATGTAGTAGCTCTGAGGAGAGTGTTACCACTACCAGTCTCTGACAGTTGTTTGGTTGCAGCAGTGTTGCCAACCTCTGACTGTTGTTTTGTACATAGTAGCTCAGAGTGTTACCACTACCAGTCTCTGACAGTTGTTTTGTTGCAGCAGTGTTGCCAACCTCTGACTGTTGTTTTGTACATAGTAGCTCAGAGGAGAGTGTTACCACTACCAGTCTCTGACAGTTGTTTTGTTGCAGCAGTGTTGCCAACCTCTGACTGTTGTTTTGTACATAGTAGCTCAGAGTGTTACCACTACCAGTCTCTGACAGTTGTTTTGTTGCAGCAGTGTTGCCAACCTCTGACTGTTGTTTTGTACATGTAGTAGCTCTGAGGAGAGTGTTACCACTACCAGTCTCTGACAGTTGTTTTGCTGCAGTGTTGCCAACCTCTGACTGTTGTTTTGTACATAGTAGCTCAGAGTGTTACCACTACCAGTCTCTGACAGTTGTTTTGTTGCAGCAGTGTTGCCAACCTCTGACTGTTGTTTTGTACATGTAGTAGCTCTGAGGAGAGTGTTACCACTACCAGTATCTGACAGTTGTTTTGCTGCAGTGTTGCCAACCTCTGACTGTTGTTTTGTACATAGTAGCTCAGAGTGTTACCACTACCAGTCTCTGACAGTTGTTTTGTTGCAGCAGTGTTGCCAACCTCTGACTGTTGTTTTGTACATGTAGTAGCTCTGAGGAGAGTGTTACCACTACCAGTCTCTGACAGTTGTTTTGTTGCAGCAGTGTTGCCAACCTCTGACTGTTGTTTTGTACATAGTAACTCAGAGGAGAGTGTTACCACTACCAGTCTCTGACAGTTGTTTGGTTGCAGCAGTGTTGCCAACCTCTGACTGTTGTTTTGTACATAGTAGCTCAGAGTGTTACCACTACCAGTCTCTGACAGTTGTTTGGTTGCAGCAGTGTTGCCAACCTCTGACTGTTGTTTTGTACATAGTAGCTCAGAGTGTTACCACTACCAGTCTCTGACAGTTGTTTTGCTGCAGTGTTGCCAACCTCTGACTGTTGTTTTGTACATAGTAGCTCAGAGGAGAGTGTTACCACTACCAGTCTCTGACAGTTGTTTGGTTGCAGCAGTGTTGCCAACCTCTGACTGTTGTTTTGTACATAGTAGCTCAGAGTGTTACCACTACCAGTCTCTGACAGTTGTTTTGTTGCAGCAGTGTTGCCAACCTCTGACTGTTGTTTTGTACATAGTAGCTCAGAGTGTTACCACTACCAGTCTCTGACAGCTGTTTTGTTGCAGCAGTGTTGCCAACCGAGTGTGGCGATGGTCGTCCCTCGGACACGGAGGAGTTGTTGAGGCCGGACTGTGACCCTCCTCCTACAACTCCACCCCTACACCATGTGAAGCCGCCCCAACCCCAGGCGACACCGCAGGAACCACCCAAGAGGGAACTCAATTTTGAGGTTAGTTTTATTATTTTCTTTAACTTGGGACTACACTTCACCTACTCTGTTCACAACATTTAGGCGGTTTTAGGGGGCGAAATTTATCCCCTCCACTTAAAACAATATCTCAACAGCTGAGGTTTCCCAAAAACGTCAATCAGCAACCAGCTGCAACATACTTAAGCAAAAAAAGTAGTACGACCTATCCTTCAATTCCCCCCTTCATTATATTATTTCCTTCAGTATAGGCTTGCCGCTGAAAAAGTGAAATGCACTGCAATCGTTACCTCGGTTATACTGCAAGTTATTTGTACATTACATTTTAACATGTTTACGTGCAAATGACTGATTGTGATAACAATCGAGAAGTTAGTAATTTTAATGTCATATCCCCTTAAACCATGCGTATTGCGTATTAGTCCTCCTCTACTGTTCGAACGTGGATAGCCCAACTCCGCGTGGTGGTCAGATTTTGGATGATGAATAGTTTTATGACCCCCGAACTCCGCGTCCAACTCCGAGCGGGGGTCACTTTTAGTTGACACGTAGTCAAATTCCCAAAAGTAATGTTTCACTTTTATTTGTTCATAGCTACTTTATTCACGTGACAGGCTAGTTTATGTTAGGTTAATGATTATTCATTAACTCGTACAACTTTGGAACGTACATCGTGCGGAGTTGGACATGTCCCGCGAGGGACTCAAAGTGATCACCGTGCGGATGAGTTTGTGTAAGCCCGTTTGAACTATAACTAAATTTGTATTTTAAAATTAAGTTGTAACATTTTACTCGTTGGTTTAGCCTTTTTGTTATTACGCAAGACTTCTAAGCCCAATGTTAAGTTAGCTTCCCCCCCCCTTCGTCCACTTACTCTTAATAGCCCAAGTACATTTGCCAAATGAATGGCAGGAGACGTAGGAATTGGCTAACTCAGGAACTCGCTAACTCGGTCGTGTGTCGGAACTGGCTAACTCAGGAACCGGCTAACCGTCTCAGTCAGGAATTGGCTAACTCCGGAACCCGCTAACTCGATTTTGTCTCGCGGCGGAATTCGCTAACTCTGGAAGTCGCTAACCCGGCAGCGCCCACTGCACGGAGCGTTGCCAACCTTGTACGACGAAATAATCGTACACTGCCGTATTTCAAAATGTCAGTATCAATGAAGATACAGTAAATGTTATTGTTTTTTGCTATACGTTCTACTTTTAACAGCTAACTAGCCAAAAATAATTAAAATGCAATTAAAAAAATCATGATAAAGGTTATTTTTTAACTGTACAACGGCCAATAAAATGTTTATGATTTCGATCTTAAATATAAATGCCATAAGTATTATAAGAAAATAATATGAAAAACATTGAACGTTCAGTTTAATTGGTACTAAACAGTTTAACCTCTACGAAATTAAGCTAAAATACACGCAAGTTCTCAAACACGGAAATAAAGTTTATCGTAATGTAATAAACGAAAACCATTAATACAGTCATCAACCATCGTAACTTTCATAACTAATTCATAGATTTAAAATTGAAGGTTTGTCGTTGAATCGTCCAATTTACGTGTAATAATATAACATAGACTACGTTTCATATCAATTTATAGAATAGCTGTAGGTCTAAATCTAGGCCTAATAGTTGAAACCAAAGTGTAGTGCATTGTAGGCCTATTAGTAAAAATTTGCATACCAAAGTGTGTTGAACTTTTTAGTAATAATGTTACAACTTTTAAAATAGTTTTTAGATTGTACACCTAAGCCCCACTAGTAAATAATAGGAGAAGATATAATATTCTTATATTAAAACGTGACAGGGTTATTTTAATTCACGATTCTTAATCAATGACTTGTCGGATTTTCCCTTTTTTAGTGTTGGGTTTCATATTGCTTTTACAATCGAAATAAACTACCAAGCCATGCTCGGTTCCCCGTTCCCCGGTACTGAGCCACTCAATAGACAATAGCTTTGTTGTTGGATAAGATCAGGTAATTTTAGCTATGGCCACCATTCATTAAAATGGTAACAAACAAGAACGCCTGATGGATTCATTTAGAACCATAAAAACTCCAGACTTTAGACGTAAAATTAATATTAATTAAGAGGACAACAAGGATCTACACTAATAGCCTATGACAACATTAATTTACAAATTGTATTTATGAATAGACTAATTTTTAATGCAATCCATGAATACATTACCACTTTATAATGTATTGATTAATATTTATTTAGATTCAATAGCTCTATTTAAAAAGATATTAGCACTACAATGTAGTTCCGTAATGACGTTTAACGTGTAAATTTGATCGGGAAGGTAATCCTCAAAATTATAGGCATAAAGTCTATGGCAATTACTGTAGATTTTTTTTAATGTCTATTTGTTGGTTGCCTCGAATAGGATATACTATTACAATACTGCTTCAATTTTTGTTAATAGATTATATGTTTCCTAACAACATAATGTAAGAACATTTAAATTCCTATTCTTGACTAAAGTAAAGACGCAAATATTGTAATACATTGTTAACGTTTTTGATTTGCGTTAATTAATTAATGTAGGCCTTTAAAGAGTCAAATATTAACCTATCAAGGACAAGCATTCAAGGTTACAAGCCTAGTATACAAAATACGAACTTAATCATTTTATTTTAAGAAGATCACAAAATGGTTATTCCTATAAAAGAAACAAATGGTGGACTACGAGAATAAATATTTCATAACATGTAAAATATCATAATTAAATGTACAGTACTATCTTTTTGCATCCCAATAAACTACTATTAAAGTAAGAAAACCATATATAAAACATACTCCCTTATATTAGTACAATTCTCATCCTTATGGATCAGCTGAAGTCAGTTTTATCGTTAGTTCTGTCCGGTGCAATGTCTTTAGAGGTCGTGTTTTGTTTACAATTGTTTCTTGTTTTCAGTCATTAAAAACCTCGTCTAACCAAATAAATCATTCTAATCATAACTAATAACACGTCCCCTAGTTATATAACCAAACAGTAAAGAACAAACCATGAAGTTAGCTATAAAATAATATAAACACAATTTCGTCGACACTAGCGATCAGTGTCACCGGACATGAACTAGACATGAAAAACGAGCTTCAAAGTTTACAATGGGATGTAAAGTTTACTTGTTTTGGTTAGTCTATGGTAAGACTATAATGCATTTTCTACCCTAATAATCATAAGAATAATATTAAACATACTTCTAAATATATTTATTTTATCAACTACATTGCTCTTACTCCTAATTATTCGTAGAATACGACATTATGGTACCGATACGATCATAGGTAATACCCTTTCGGCAACACTGGCCAAAAATCTTCGTGCTTGGTTCCTATTGGACAGCACGCGAGGCTTCTGATTGGGAGTTAGCGAGTTCCACCGAGGGACCGAGTTAGCGACTTCCGTACGAGGACGGAATTCGCTAACCTGGCTCTAGAGTGGGTTAGCGGGTTCCGGAGTTAGCCAATTCCAAAACCGAACAAGTTAGCGAATTCCTCTCATCGACCAAATTTGAAGATAGGGCGTTTAACATGGGGTTAGCGAGTTCCAGAGTTAGCCAATTCCGCGGACCCAATGGCAGCTTATCTCTTAAGAAGTTGTATAAAAGCCATTTAACACGAGACGAGACAAACGCGTAAACAAAGAGCAAAGAGAGAGTTAGACAGAGAGAGGGGGGGGCATCAGCTGATAGCACGCTTGTGACCCCAATTATTAACACCAGACTTCAAAGAGCCGCCGCCGACTGCCATCAACTCACCAATTGTACGTCCTCGCTTATAAACATCGCCCTTTGATATAGTTTCCAACTGCCGCTCGACGGTGCTGCTGTCTGTAGGTGCAGCGAGGAACCTCTTGAAGCGACGGGCAACGACAGAACACTCTTGCTCTTTGTCCCAACAAGGGTGCCAACGTAAGAAGATTAATACCTTTCGAAATAAGTGGACTGTATAAAATGTGTTGTTTGAAACGGAGCAGGGCGGGGTTGAAAACATCAAAGGAAGAGATGAAAGAAAAGTGAGAAGTTAATGAGGGCTTCTAGGCCAAGCCAAGATGAAAATAAAAATTACCCTGGAGGTGTTAGATGATTGCAGGGTTTTATGTTCGTATTTAGTCTTCGTAAGATATGTGTTTTACTCTGTACTTTTAATGCTTAAAGTTCTTCAGACTTACCACTATCTAAAATTAGTCTATCTAGCATTTATTTAAGTTTTAAAACAATTGTCGCTTCCGGAATGCATCTGGGTTTGTTCTAGTGGGGCCTTGGTTTGATTCCCTAATTCTAGAGGTGATCACGAGCTATTTGAACTGGAATCTTGGATCGTTGGACGTGTAAAAAAAAGTTGGTTTGGGTAAAATTACTATGGTAATCAGCAGCCACTTCTACAATTTGAATGATTTCAATATCCAATCAGGGAATTTTCAGTTCTCGTGCGAGATACTTGTACGCTTTTCTTTCTACTTTAAGGTTCCCGCCAACATATTTTGTTCAAGATGCGAATTTAAAAACTTTAATAACATTTGACACCAACTGGATGGTTCTTGTACAAGATCCTTTCAAACATACCAAATTGCTTTTTGAGATGCCATCAAACGCATTTCGGTTCAAAGTACGTTCCAAATCTAAAACTATGAACAATTAACACCCATCGTTCTGGTGCAAAATACTTGCACAATTTCCTACGCTCTTTGAGATGAGCCTTTTGGAGCCCACAAACACACAGGTCAAGGCTCGAATCCGAAATCGTTGATCGAATTTGACACCGGCCGGTGCCGGTGGCGGTGCTGGTGGCAACAAATTGTACGGTTGTCTCGATCGTGAAATGGCATCGCGGGGCTGCGGGACGTCGGCGACATCAAGGAGAGAAAGAAGGCGGCCTTCAGGCTGGCGCCGTCCCTGGTTGCGCAACGGGCCTCAATGGGGCCGACATACATCCAGGATCCGGTAAGGGCCAAGGAGTATTCTGAGATAAGCGTTATGAGCGTCTTAACTGGCATTTTCGCAGTCATCCTTGGTTCTGATTTCGTCCATGCCAATCCAAAATTACTGAAGAAGTTGTTTTACTGGTTTTGCCTATGCCAGAAAGGTCGGCTTAGAACACAGTTCTTGGTGCTTTACTCATCTTCGGTCCATCCAAACTGATCCAAACCCGAACAATTGAGCTTCTTCACTCAATTGTGTTTTGTGTTGTTATTCTATTAGTGAGCCTTTGAATTCCCCGATCTTACAGACAGTTGATAAAAGATGTATTGTAGTGAAGTTGATTTTAAAACTAATTGCTGAGTAAAGATGTTTTGTAGAATGGTTGGGAGGTGAACCACAGACTCTTAACCTGGTTGTTGGTAAAATAACTTAGAATTAACCAAACGATCGTTATCAATCCATGACAGAACATGCATTGTGTTGTATGATATTGTTATAATAAACACGCTCATTCAGTACCTATTGAAGTAATGTTACACAAAACTGCCCTTTATTTTAATCCAACTTCAACTATTTTTATCAAAAATACTATAATGGTTTCTGTTGGAAAAATTTAAAAGATCGTGCATGTACTCTACCATCTGTACCTTATTTTAATTCAAACCAAAACGCCCACATCGAGTTGTGAATTTAAAGTGAGTCGAACTTCTTAAACAGAAGGAGAATTAAGGTTTCATGACGTAAGTAAGGCAAGAAGACAAGAGGTTGGAGAATGAATGAGGAGGTTGCTCCGTTATGCAGCAGGGCCCTCGGCTAGAATGGCGGCAATAATTCATATCCTACACAGCACAGCTAGGCCCGTTGTTCCTCATGTAGCCTTAACATCCGCACCGCCCGCCCGCCCGCTGGGGCTATATTATAATTAGTGCGATTGTCATTAGTTTCGTACTGCACTGTTGCTAGGAATTTCGAATTTATTCGGGGTTGCCTCGTGTTGCTACTTTGTTAGCGTGGGCATAGGTTTGTCATTTAGTCAACGTCAACGCTTGTCATGCTATCTACTCTTATTGCGTTATAATAATCGTGTACTGTATGAATAAAGACATATTACTATCTTTGTTTGAGCAGTACGGCAGTACCTAGGGCAGTACTCGTTCGAGCACAGAATCATTCTAAAATCATTATCATTTAGTTGAAATGTTCCCTTCCGTCCGACAAGTGCTAAGATTCTAATCCTCTTCTTTGATCCCGTGTAACCTAAAATGTTTAAACTAGAAGACGTTTACCACTTGGGCCTGCACTGTAAAGTCGATGTTCAAAAGTCTAAAGTGTCGTCAACGAAGTGCAATCACAATCAATTATGTTTTTGTCAAAGCGAGAAGTGACGTGGCCGCCGCGGCTGCTATATAAAGCCCACATCAAAGCAAATTCCTCACCCGCCTGCCCAGCCGCTGTGTACATGGCTATTTATGCCTCCCCTCGGTATATTTAAACACGACATTCTTTGAAGGAAATCATCAATTTGCACACCGATTAATCCCACCTGTTGCTTCTGTCTGCCATTTGATGTTTGTGTTAGCAAGAAAGTGACAATATTTACAAACTTCAAACGCTCTTTAGATCTCGTTCTCTCCTAGAGTTTATAGAATTTGTGGAGAACGCTGTTTTTGATCCTAGTTAGATTCAGTAATGTTTAAATGCTCGGTTGACAACGTGTTTCCAACCATATCAAGAAACAGATTTTTCTTTCGAAGAGAACTTACCGTAGTTGAATAAGGCTGCAAAAAGCGCACTTTAGTCTTAAATTATATTTTATCCCTTAGTTTTTGTTACTGAGACAATCTAATGTTACAAAATTCTATACCGTAATTTACACAATAAGCCATCATTTAAATTTGGTTTGGTTAAAAAGTTTGTGAATTAAACAAAAATTGAAAGCAGCACACTATGTCGTTAGCTCAAATCAACTACGTCCATTTCATTCTAAAACTGCCTACCACGGAAGAGTAAAAGAATAATAGTACTACTACTTATACTTTGTGCAACAACAAGTATAAAAACAGTAAACTTGCTGTTACCATTGAATATACACATTCTTATATACATAATCAATGCTACTACTTTCCTTAATCAACAATATTTTAAACCTGCGACTGTCTGTACAGGGGTTCGAGTGTGACGTTTCTCTGGAAGGAGCAGGAGACCCGTCTGACAGGCAGGAGTTCTCATTCACGCTCTACGACTTCGATGGACATGGCAAGATTACCAAAGACGTAAGTGCGTCGTCTGCGTGCTGCACTAGAGTATACTCTTCTTCTCTCGGCCTGTCTGTAGAATCACAAGTAGGCGCGACGGCGGGAAGCCTGTTTTTAAGCAGTGTTGCCGTTTTTGTGTAATCACGCCTTATTCCACGGTTTTTTTTCGCTGATTAGAAAATCTGGTGTGTTCTTTGAGGATTTGCCCCTTAGCTTGGTAGTTTAAGAAAGACTCGTTTATTTCTGTAAACCAGTAATGATATTCTTTTAAATTTTGTAGCTCATTTAACTAATTTCAGTGCGTTTTTTCCCTTTGGGATTTTGGCTGATTTCAGACATTTAGCCTAGTGGATTATTTGAGAATTCTTTTATAAATTTTTGTGAATTAAACCCCCATTTTTTATGTGTATATTTTCAAAATATATTTATAATTGTATAGTTTTCATTGCTTGCCCATTTAGATTAAGCCTTTAATTCATGAGCGTAATACGCAATATCTTTATTAGGATATTTCTACGAAATTTATACAAAACAAATGTTCATGAAATCTATAATAATTTTGACTAACCCTTTTGTCCATCATGCTACTTTTTTCACAATATAATTAATGAAACAACAATAATCTTGAAAGATGATGGCTTACTAGCCAGTCAGTCAATGCTATTACTATACCCTATATGACTACTGTACAATTAATTGGACATCACAAATCTCGATTTAAATATCAATACCCTATAGCAATTTTCATCATAATATCATAGACCAGATTCTGTATTGACAACGGTGATAGAGTGTTTCCGCACAGGAAACTTTGCTTGTAGTTGCTGATTATATTGTTAATAGGTGTTTAAAATCAATTATTTTACCACAAATATAAAATAAAATAGTTCCATCATTTGGCTTTAATGAACCCTCTAAACATGGCTATAAAAGGGCTCCTCTCTTCTAGAGGTCTAAACTACATAAATTTCTAGTCTATTGATAAGGTTTCAGAAGTGGGCAAGTAATCTGAGGGAAGAGAACAATAGTCTGTTGTCATTTACTCTTTGTATTGGTGATTAGATTTTGGCAAGTGTACCCCTTCATTTCTTCCCGGTCTAATTACCAAGATCAAAAAGGACCACCAACAAAGCTAGCAGCTGATGAATGTGGTGTGAAAGCTTCCAAAGTGATCCTTTTAAATCAGCACTGTTCTACAATGAAACATAATTTCCAAACAACATTTTGGGATTCTAAATGTTTTAGCCTACTTTTTGGTCTTTTGATCATGATTTACTAAGTGGTATTCAAACTTATACTATTTACAGTCCCCTTTACACTGTAGAAATGTCTGTCACTAGTGTACTTCTATGCAGCCCCCCTCCCCTGCTTGTAATTTGGTTAGCGGTATTACACATTAGAGCTCGTAGAGACAAGCGCTAATTTCATCTGCATATTTAGAGAGGGGGGCGGTATTGTATGCAGAGTGAAAAGTTTAAATAACTTGGCATTCTGATTGTGTCACCATCGTGGTGAGTTTGATAGGCCATTGTGTTGTGCTCTTCGTCTTCCTCCACGATTAAATACAATCTCTCTTCTCTCCCTCTATGTATATCTACTCTCTCTTTGTCTTATTTTGTACTGTGCCTAAAAAGCCTAAAGCTTTCAAACTGTGACTAAAATCAGCTGTTTCTTTAGCCTACATAATTAGACCGATGACCCACTTCTGAACCATAAAAAATATCGTACAGGCAACCTTTTGATTGGCAGACTAGCACCATAACAAATTGCCAATGCTTCAGTGATCTTGCCAAAAGCATAAGAAAGTATAGAAAGAAAACATTCAAACACATTTAAATTTGTTTTAGGACATTGCTGGCCTAGTGACGACCATCTATGACACGCTGGGCTCGTCCATCCGAGTGCCTCACTACGGCAGTAAGACTATCAAGGTGAAGTTGACAGTAGCGCAGGACCCTTCACCTGCAGCCGCGCCGGGGTCGGCTCCACCACCCGCGCAGCCTCGGAGGTACAAGCGAGACCTGAACGTGACGATACGAGAGCGGCGACGTCGCCATGCGCGGAGACACAGCGTCAGCAGCTCGGCCGCCAGCGAGGACAGGGAGGCTGACGTGTCGGAGGACGAGGACGAACCTTCCCCCCCTCCTGCCAGCAGTCGGCTACAACCACCTCATACCAACAGGTAACAAGTGGAATTAGGCTATATTTCTGAACAGCTTATAACAAAGGGCCGGGTCCGAGCACTGGTTTGCACATTTTATTCTATGTATATTTGGTCCTTGTGAATAAAAAAAACGTAAGCGTTGACCAATTTGTGTGATATGTGGTGAGAATTTAATATAAATTATTAGATAAATCACAATAATTGTTAGTTAACCCTTGGTTTATCATAGGCTGTCCAGCTCAGCTATAACACAAAATTTCACCATTTAATTTTGGCTTCTGAAGTAGACCTCCCATATTCAATTACCCATAAAGTGCCATCTCTAGAGAGATTTAACTTCCACACAGTTGAGAAACAAGGAGTCGATACTTAAACTCAAGTCAGGTTACCCTGAAGATGGCACTCTACATCAATGTTGAAACCTTGGTGAAGAGAAATATTATTTCATCCATTTAGATAGGGTTGTCACTTGAAGACCACAAATTTATTCATACTATCATAGTTGTATGAGACTATTATTTAATGTTTAGAGATTAACTCATGTTTTGACGATTGTTTCAGTTGTCGCCAGAACACAGTGCCATCAGGTCTCCACAGTCGCAGCAAGAAGCGTTCAAGTTCCCTTCAACGCCAGGAACTGCTGCAGATCATACAAGCGAACATGGAAAAGAACAATCTATGTTTCAAAACCTCAAGGTAGACTTAACAAACATTGTTTGTCTCATAAGAAAGCTGTGATTTCTTAAATCAGTTGTCTTTCCCTTGCATCATCATTCAAACTTTCTATTCAGTGTTAAACATTTGTTTTGCTATAATAACAAATAGTTATACCTATAAATTATTAACAATGTTGACTTTTAAAAAGAATTTTAGCTGAGTGAATATAGTGCTCGGCTTCTAATCAAAACACCGCTGGTTTGGTCTAGAGTAAATTCAGAAGGATTTTGTTGGTTTGAAATTGGACCCAGCTGTTGTTAAATTAGGCTTTTAAGTTATAATGAATCGTCTGCTGGTCTGCTCTACTAAACCAGCAACCAGCTGATCTTAGTCTGTATCCAAGAGGTTACCTTAACATCCTATACTCATCCTTCACCTTCGTCTTAAAATACACACCCTGGTTTGATGGTGTGAACAATCTAATCATGCATATAGCATATAGAATGAAGAAATTTGTTACTTTTTGCTATAGTTTAGTTAGGAAAAAATATAAAATAAGAGTCGTTGTATTTTAATGAAGTTTTAGATCCTAATCTAATTCCTCTAAAAAAACTCACCAGACAATCTTTTATAGGAAACACTTTAGTCCGGCCCATGATCCGAGCAGACACAAAGCGTCGCCCCCGCATTGGGACAAGTGCGGTGGCCGGGGCAGGGGGAGGGGTGAGGCGCCTCACAGTCCGCAACGTTCCGCCCCTACAACGTCCCCCCACCACCTCAAGCACCGACACCGAGAACAGGAGCAGGCGCGCGCAATGGCGCAGGTAGTGCGGTGGTTGGAACAGGAGTTCTCGTCTCCGAAGGACAACTACAAACACAAGTCTGCACACCGGACGGAACACCACCACGTGCACGAACACGTCCACCACCACTACCACCACTACCAGGACACGCCCGTGCTGGTATGATCCTGCGCGGACTACCACTCCATGTAACCATTTGTCTATTTAACCCATTAGTAATTTTTTGTGTCAGCTATTTTATATAAAATATTTTAAGGAATGAGTTAAGTAGTGTAGTTTAACTACTTAACTTCTTTGAGAGTGCAGACTTTAGGGAACGTCCTGCTTGTCAAATTTTTTGACAGAGTTTACTTGGAAAATAAAGTTAGGGAGTAAGAAAAAAGTTGTTTATTGTTGTATGTGTAAATACAACGTATAATTGAAAAAAGCTTGTTAGAGTTGTATAATAAATAAATAAATAAATAATAAATAAAAATGTCTTTATTCAGCGTTTCTCTGAATAAAGATCAACTCCTTAAGCACTTTGAAAATTTGCTAAAAAATATATCGTTGCAATCACTCTTGTCATCACTGGAATGTAAAATGTTACCTTTCAACTCTAGATAAGTCTATCAATCTTTGCACTTAAAGATTAACAATGTTTAATTTTTTTCAAAACTGCGTCTCTCTGGATCTCTATTTATTAGCACGGTATCAATTTATGAATTAAAAAGATGGCCGGGCTAAATATTTGTTTTGCTTCATTCATTAGAATGAAGGAATGTGGCATCCTTTATTTCCTGATGGAAAAAAATATGTTAATTTACATTGTATACCACTTACCAAGTCAAAAGATAATCATTTTAGCAAGACTTACTGGTGTAAAAGCAAGGACTTTAATAACTCTAAAGTCCAGTAAACTATCACATTCACTGTCCCTTTGTTTCCAAATTAATTCATTACTAATGGGTTATGAATATAAAACTTAAGGTGGTTGGAGTGTGTGTTTGAAGATCAAACAAAAACATCTTCAAAAGACTTAAAATATGTTATAGTATTTTAAAATAGAAATAGTTTATATCTACCTCATTTTTAGTTACTGGCTGCAATGTAAATATGTGAATAGTCAAAAGTGTCTATATAACTGTGATGAGAACAAATGTTAAGATGTTATTCCTAGTAGAAAGATAGCTTTAATAAGTTGTATATGTATTTTAATATTAATGTTTACTGTGTACTTAATCCCTGTAACTCAAAACTTGTCAGTGATTTGGAATAGCATCCCATTATTTAATTTTTAATTGATTGAACATATTTATTTCTTGGTCATGAAGTATCTAGTTATTTTAACCCAATTTTTAGTAATAAATTTATTTGACTATGCATTAGTAGGTACTTAAAATGTTTAAGAAGTGTACATTTTAATGTATATTATGTCCTGTAAAATTATGAATCAAGATTTAAAGTTGCGGAAAATGTTTAAGTCAACTAATTTATCTAGGAAGAATTAATTTTATTGTGACCTTAGCATTTTTCATTTTGATTAATTTTACCCACAGTATTTTGAAGAAAAACTGTTGAACCTAGTACAGTAATATATTTCTCAATTAGAGTTTAATTTATTGTCCCAAATATGATTTGTACATAGCGATTGTATTTTTTATCTGTATAAATTGTATTATTGTTGTTTTACAGTAATATGTTATTTATATTTCTAAAATAATATAATATGTAATTTTATTTATAACTGGATGAATGTTACTTGTTATAAACGACTCTACGCTTGTATATCATAATAATATTATTAATAATTCAGCTAAACAAATTGTATACTCTGGCATTTCAATTGTAAAACTATTTGACTTTATTACAAATTACTGTTTTAATATTCTACTTTGTTATAATTTCTACCTAATGATAAATTAATTTTATAAATAAATTTGCAATTTTTAATGAAAAGTGTCTATTTTTTACTTTCCTCCTGCTTGGACAAATTATTACATGCATTAAGAAAATTTAGATTTTTGAAAAATATAAGCAAGCTTTTTAAATTTCAATTGTATTCATTCTTTGTACAATTTTTATTCCTTTTATAGAATCTCTTGAGGTACAATATTTAAGCATTGAAAAATTTTACACAGATTTACACGATCTTTACTCCTCGTAAAGGAAAATCATTAATACAGTATTCACATTATTGTAGAAATACTGTATTCTGTTAATAAATTACAAATTTTTATTGTAGAGTGTACTACTTTATAATGGTAGCGAACTAGGACAAAAATGAAAAGTATCTGTTCTTGTAATAGTGGACTAGTCAAAAAGCTTGAAAACAATAATCTTTACCTTAAACACAGAGAAGCAAGTTACAGAAGCAGGAGATACTGTACACTCAATGGTAAATTTAAGTTGTGTATAGTACAACATTTAGGCGGTTTTAGGTGATGACATCCATCCCATATCTACTTGATCCTACCTTTAAAACAATTGCTCAACAGCTGAGGTGTGTCAAAACGTCAATCAGTTGCAAATATACATTAATACAAAAAAGTGGTGGGGGAACTTTCCCTCACACCGCTTACATGTTGTGAACGGACTATATAGTCGCTTGGTGTATAGAACAAGTCCAACACCTCCCCGTCAGAGGAAGACCCAGTCTGATAAGAATTTCCTCACAGCGCTTTTTCTTGCTCGTCACAAGTATATTTCCGGCACAACATGTTGACATACTAGAGCTGAAACCGCAAGGTAGTTTCTTAAGCAAGTTTCCTTTGTAAAAGTATAGTTTTAATTTTGAAATTGACTAAATGATTTGCTATTATTTGTACACATGATCAGATAAGGCCGGCCACACACAGAACCAGGCGGGTCGGGGCGCGACAGGGCACGACGAGGCGCCTGACTTAAGCCCTGTCTTGTTGCCGTCACACACAGAATGAGGCAGGGCACGTCAAATAAAAAGTTTAGCCCCCATAAACCTGAAAATTAATATAGGATTTTTTATTTCTGAGCCTTGAGCCGATTTAGCCAACTTTAAAATTTGACTTTGAGCAGAATAGAAAACAAAATTCAAAGTCATACCTCCAGAGGAGTGGTTTTTTTAAACCCTTAAGATATGAACGTTGGCCCTCTCTTTCCTCAGTTATTAATACCAAGATAAATTATTAGTTATTAAACCACTGTAGTAATATAATTGATATTACTACAGTGGTTAATATCATCACTGCATAGTCTTATCAAAGGGTGTAATCTTTGGTCGTATAAATTGTTACAGTCTTGTATGTAAATAATTGTCTGTCGCACAAGACGCCCCGGGGCAAAATGCCCTGTCGCGCCCGCCCCGCCTGGTTCTGTGTGTGGCCGGCCTAAGACAACACAAAGTTTACTCTCCAAACCACAATTATATTTCTAAAAATGGAAATCACCAATAATTTTTTTTTATTCCTGATCCTTTTTTATTGAGATTAACTGAAAGCACGAAAATACGTCAAATAACAGTTATAATACAGTAATATATTTACACTTATGCTGTTTACTCACAAGACAGTTCATACATATAAAAGATGGTAAGTGGTGATCGATTTTGATTGGACACTCCATTCATCACAGACCCAATAGGCCAATGATGAGTCATGAAAGAGTTCCAAAGAGACATTGGACTACTCCATCTAGGTGAGGTGAACCCCTCAACCTAATAGTGAAATGACAAAGTTCTGACATAAGCAACTATGAAAAGCTGCAGACAGTCTTAAAACAACTTGAGTCTATTAGATACATATAGTAGTACACAACTGGCAACACCACTGCTATGAGTACCTATAGTAGTAGGTAGTGATGAATGTACTCTGATAGTCGGTTTGTTTGGCCTTATGAGAAATAAAGGGTTCACTACTAAAATGTAATGAGGGGGAAAAGGGATGGCAGAGGCAGAGGATGTACAGTACTGTATAGTAAGGAGGATTAACACATTCACAACCAGATCTCGCAATCACAAGGCTCCTATAGACAACTTTAGGTTTGTGACAGAGATCTTCTAACAAGCTTGTGGGATATAAATATGAAAATTGGGATAGTACCATAGATAAAAGAATCTATGATAGTACTTACATTAAGTCAAATAATTCAGGCAAATGCAGATCTGGGCAGGAAAAATACTGTTGCATTAATCGAGTTTAAATCTTGCCGTGATGTGCACTGAAGTTCAACATTGTTGGACCAAAAAGACTAGGCTAAATAAAAAGAGCCAAATGTTTTGGGAGGTACAAAAACAAAATATTTAACTACTTATATAAACAAGTCACTGACAGTACTGTACTTAAATACGAGCAGCAAGGCTGGCTTAGAACTATGACGTTCGTGTTGTTGTGTTGTTATTTAGGGATACATAGGGTTGAAGTTGAGGGGGGCCCATAGGCATAGTATCCGAGTCTTCGAAAGGTCGTGAATCGTGATAGATCTTTCTAAGATGCAATACATTTGTCTGTGTTTATATTATTGGTGTACTGGTGTACTATCATGGAAATTAGTAATTTAAATCAGTATACAATCTATATCGGTGGCTCACATCGACTACGACCATGGTGGAAGGAAAAAACACCTGTTTTTTCCTTCCACCATGGACTACGACGATTTTGATTTAAAAACCAGTGTCTATGGTCAGTGTCTATGGAATGTCCATAAAGTATTTTTTTCCAATGATTTTAACTTCCAACAACAATTAATCCAAAGTGAAAGTAGTAAGAACTTCTTCGTTTGTAGTACATTCCATACAGTATACAGTCAACGAAATCAAATATATTTTTGCTCAAATGCTGCATTTTTTTTCAAACAGATGTTTTGAATGTATTGTCAAAATTAAAACAGACGCAGCGCAGACGACTCCGTTCCCTTTAACCAAAAGGACCAAAATAATATGTTGTTACAAATCTGTTTTGTGATCGGGCGTTGCCTTTGTGTCTAAAAGAGTGTTTAGCAAACTAGTGATCTGGGTTTTGAAAATCGTGATCTTATTTTCCTTATGTAATATAAGTTAAAACCTTCACTCTGAGAAGCTCAAATAACGAGGAGGAGGAACTAAATAGTCTACAAATACAACGAAAATCGACATGGAAAAACCAGTGTGTTTGATGAACTCCATTTGCCTTTTTAAAAAGCGGCATAGTTTTTTTATGTCGAGAAACATTTGACTTTAATAGATCTATGTAGAAGTTTTGAAATTCTAAAATGTTTATTATCAGTATTATTATTGCATTTTCCTCTACATGGTGTTTTCATTCAGTGTCTTCTGAAAGTGGTAAGTAAAGCTCACTTAAGATGTCCCTCCAAGACGCTTAGACTAGTATGTATTTGTAATAACTTAACTTATAGAGTTTTTTTTTTAGAAGTTAAGCCTATGTATATTCACTTTTCAATTACTCAGGACGCTATTAGAAGCTGTCCAATTGCATGAATTAATTGCCCTTAGGCCTATAGCCCGGATTTAAGTATCCACTTGATTTTCAATTTTGCACACCTTGTTAGGCTACGTTTACTGTGAATAATTTACCTTATTACCATCTTCTTGGCCGTTGACCCATCTTATGATGGGAATAGGCTGTGTCAGCGTTAAACAACTTATTTTATTTCCCGCACATGTATAAAACTCACAAGGACTCACAAATTAAAAAAATCTGGTAAGAAAACATACTTTAGGTGCTCATGGCGGTCGCTATGCTACTAATTTAGCTCATCCAAACTACCTTCCAGGAATTCCTTTATTGAGTAGTACCGTAAGGGTTTTACAAAAGAAATTTCCTGTGATGGTTTTCAACATTCTGCTGGCAAGGGTCTTCATCATCATTTGGCTCTACATCACCTCCACATAAATCTCATTGCAACAATCGTTGTGTATCTACATATAGTTTATTAACATAGACGTATCAAACGCTTTTTCAAAATCTGTGTAAACAACGTCAACCTGACCTGAAAAGTACTGAAAATGAGTTATAGGCCTATGTAGTTTTTTATATGAAGAAATATTCTGTCGTAATGTTAACTTAGCGTCTCGTTTTTAAGAACTCCGTGCAATATATCTTGTGACAAATGCCACCAGCATGGATGGATTCAGAATCTTTATTGATCATTAAGTTAAACACATACAGTGCAATAGATCTTTTCATGCAGCATGCAATAAAATAAGGAGAAAACATTAACGGTAGGCCTACCACATCAAATCCAAAGTTAGCAAATGCATATTAGGCCTACTGTAACAAATAAATTAGAGTCCAAGTTTAGCTTATATGCAAAGGAAGACATTAGGTGTTAAAAGCAAGATCTAAAAGAACAGATTATGTGCAAAAAAAGAATAAGTTAGGCCTATTATAGGCCTACATAACAGTGTTCGAACAACAAGCATGAACAACAACATGAAAAATACTGACTAGCCTAACCTTTAATAAAATTAATAAAACATAGATCAGTATAAGCTATCACAGGTACAATGTATCACAGGTTTAATGTAACGTAGATGTAACTAGGCCTACTAAACTGTTCAAACATAAAGGTGAACATGTGCAATAAAGTCAAGGGATTTTCATGATGTCCAAAGTTTTCTATAACAGCTTATGTCAATATTTTTAGAGAGCCTTTGTGACACCTGTTTAGTTATGTTTTCAGCATCATTCTACGGAGGCAGCTACGTGCATGTACCCCTTCAAGATGCAAAGAGCACGACTGAAGTGCAGCTCAAGTTTAGGACCAAGCAGTCCGAGGCGTTATTACTTCTGGCGGCCGGTCGCACTGATTACTGTCTTATTAGACTGGAAGCTGGCAGACTAAAAGTGAGTTTTTGATGCAATTTAGGTTAGCTACTAGTTGCCTATTGACAAGGCAAAATGATTATTTGTAAGGTGTGTGTGAGACAGGTAATTTGTGGAGTCAGATGTGAGGGAATATTAGAAGGGCCTAGTTTGCTAAGTACGGTTTTAATATTGGTTATCGACCAGTGGTAGTGTGTGGGGCTTATGTTCCTCAGGTCCTGGGTTTAGATTCCACCAATCATGAATTGCTTTGAGCAATACGCTATGATAGCATCGTGAACCTCTAGGTTTAGCCTGAATTAACGTGTAAAATGAACTACGTAGGCCTAGATTTCTAGGACGTAGAGGTGGGGTAAAAAGAAGGTTTCAACATTTCTTTTACCACTTAATCCAATGGTAGGCCTAAAACAAGACAGGCCATTCAAATTCAGAGATATGTGGAGAAGGAAGAATTTTTTTGTTTACAACTCTTTAGGCTACATTAAATAAAACTGATGTACGTAAGCATTCTTATTTTTGTAATTAGTAGCATAACCGTCTATAAAAGTTCCTTCTCTGGAACTAATCTACCAAATATATCAAAATGCCACCTCTATTGGCCTACCCCAGGAAACGAATAAATATACACTTTACTTAGGTTAAAGTAATATAAATGTTTGGTTAACCCATTTGATCGTTTTCTAGGTTCATATTAATTTAGGCGCAGGTGAGACGGAAGTAGCCTCCCCGAAGGGTTTGAAGCTTAACGACTTGACGTGGCACCAGGTCGTAGTGTCGAGAACAGATGCTAACATCACTCTGTTGGTGGATCAGATACACGTCACCAGGTTCGTTCTGTTGTAGTCTTCAATTTGTTTTGTTTTAGAATTTAACCATCACTGCTGCATAAGATGGCGGTTACAATATTTTGGCTGTTTTTACGTAGAAGAAATCTATCTCCACTTGATCCTACCTTTAAAACAATAGCTTGACAGCTGAGGTTTGCCACAACGTCAATCAGCTGCAACATATTCATTAGGCAAAAAATGTAGTGGAAAAACTTCCCGTCAAGCTGCCTAAATTTGTGAACAGACTAGGCCTAGGACTTTACCTAGTCTTTAGGCTTAACCATAGTTAGCACTGGTTTTGCCCCTACCACAGGAAAGAATATGTAATACTGTAACTAATTAGGCTACTTCTAGCTTAATACTAATATAACTTATATGGCACTGGACAGTAAATCAATAAATCATAGCATAAAAAAACTATTCTAAAATATGTTATTACAAAAAGAAACAAGTTGTTGAGGGTTCTATTTGTTTTTCTTCTCCGTTAGAGTTTGAAGTATCCGCTCTATACATTCATATCAATACATTTTTGTATTGATAATTGATAGTACCGTATTCAAGATACAACAAGATACAAGAACTTTATTGTTAGTAAAATACATAATATGGTACATTAGTATCTTTACTAATGTACTCGATCTAGTACTCGACTAATGTACTCTACTCAGTGCTCGATTTGTAAAAAATTGCTGGAACTGTAACCTATTTAATGTGATGAGTAACTATTAGGCCTAATGTACTTATTTATGCAAATATTTTTTCTTTCTGAAAGAGAGGTACCGGAACTCAGTTCCGCTGCGTTCCCCCGCAAATCGAGCACTGACCGTATTGATAATATTCTTGTTTTTACTCATCATCATTCAAATTATTAATTTTACTTTTTAAATATAAGCTAAAACAGTAACATATAATATTCACAAGTAGGCTAATGACTTGGATGTACTTTCAATATAAGGTGATTTCACTGACCTAAATAAGGAAGAGTCCAAAATGGCCAAAGAAACACTAAATTTTAAACACTATACAAAAAACATAAACATGATACTTCCTAGTAGTCATTAGGCCTGAAGAAACCCCTCTTTCTTAGTTGAAAATGCTGTCAGTGACAGTGAAATATTCTAATGTTTTGAGTTGGTATATAGTATAAAGTTTTGTGTTCCATATGCTATTTTGGACCCTTTTCCTATTGGGTAAGTGTGCTATTCTCACTAGAGTATTTTCTTATCTAAAATGAAATGTATTAATTTGTTTACTATTAAAATTTGAATTAAAATACAAGTTTTAAGCGTAACAAAGATCAAAGATCACTAGGTTTTTAAAATTAGTGACATTGCTCTATTGATTGAAAAAGAAGAGGTACAAGATCTTAAAAGTCTCAAATGAAATGATTGAACCATATAGCAGTAAACTAATCCCATAGGAAAGTATAATGTTGAATTCTAAGTCCAGATTAATGTGACCGTATTTTAAAGCTAGTTCAATAAATTTGTGGTTTTTGACAGAGAAAAGCTTCCGGGGAAGTTTTTCGAGCTCAACATCCACTATGGGGTGTACGTAGGTGGTCAAGGTGACTTCTCCGAGTTGTTCCTAGGCCATGGGGAGTGGCTACGGGGATGCTTAGCGGACGTTGTCTACAACGGGGTTCAGGTTGGTGCTGTTGTTCAGTTTTACAAGTGCATTTTGTGACAAATCAATCAATGCTGAGTGGTTTTAGTACTCGCCTTCAAATTTGAAGGTTCCTGGTTCGATTTGAATCATTGGTTTTGTACCTAGGTGCCACGATATTAAATGGTAGCAAGACAGAGGTTTGGAAGGTTTCCTTAAAATAAGCGTAACAAATGTGAGTAGAAAACCCTAAATAAACATAAATTGGTTTGTGCTAACCTACGGTTAACGACTCAAAAAATTTGACTTGAAAAGACTGGGTTCGATCTGTGGCACATAAGGAAAATTTAGGGTGTTGAACTCTAAAGTATTGGTGATTTTTCCGTACAAAATGTCACTGGCATAGACAAATCTACGATCCAATGTATGGGTATTGCAGGCACTGAAAACGTTTGTGAATTTTATTTTGGATATATAAATAACTATGATGCAATTGGATTCAAATTACATAAATAAACTTTGGAGCAATTCCTTTAGAAAAATGGGCTATTGGTCGGTGAGGGGCCAAGGACAAATGGAGATTATTTTTTGGCCTCCGGTTTTGATGAATATAAACACTTCGAGTATAAACTCTTCTAGACAGTTTTGTTTGTAACAAATTAAATTTTTGTGATTTTTATTTTAAAAGTTATTCCAGCTCCACAGGTTTAACACTCTGACTGTAGATAGGTTGGTTGAAGATCAAAGATCATAAGTAGACAAACATTTAGATCCATTCCTCAGCTTTTGAACTTGTACTATTTTTCGAGATGTCAGAGTTTTAGATTATTTGACAATATACTTTTTTCTCAACACTACGCTACTTGTCAAATTTTTCACAACTTTGATTGAACCACGATTTTTTTTCTTAACTAAAGTTTCTTTTTTTGTGACATCCACTAAAATATCTTTCAGTTGATCCCAAAAATCACCAACATCTTGGGACATGGTTTCTTCTTCTATTAATGACTCAAATCTATTTTTTAGTTTCAATTGGAAATTGTATACTAAATCCTTATTTTTTTAGTTTGCTGACATCTAATTTTTTTTTTTATAGCATTTGCCTTATTGTTGTAAGCACTAGAAAATAACCTACTCTCAACCACAATCAGCACTTCTTAAGCTTTTAATGTATATTTCTATAATACTGTGTCTGTGTATTTTATCAATCAAAATTTGATCAATTTTATTTCTAGTCTTTCCGTCTGGTGATACCAATGTTTCTTTATGGAAGTTTTTCCTAGGGAACGAGGTGCTTGCAACTGTAAAATGTGTGGCACATGCAGTTCCATTGTTGTTACGGTTACTATGCAAACTCTCTTTTCCACAGCAGTCCTTCCATATATCTTTTTGTCAATTTTGGAATACCATCTGCTAGTATAATTACATCATTAAGAGTTTGACTTACCAATAACTGTTCTAATCGACCATAAAAACATTTTTCTTGTCATCCCTCTTATTCTCTGTTGAAACATAAATGCAGGTAGGTTTTTTTTAAATTTTCCTTTTAATCTTACATAAAAGCTTTCATTCACAACCTCAAATTTGACTACAGTATCTACAATCTTGTTATCGATGGCAAATCCCACTCCTGCTTTTGATGTATGCCATCATCTCTACCACTGTAGTATAACTTGAAATTTCCAACGTTAGTGTTTCCATTAAATAGCCTCCAATTTCCTGCAAGGCTACCACATCCATTTTGTACTTTTCCAGTTCGCTGCTATATCAAGTACTGATGACGCAGCTTAGGTCGTCCAATGTGATCCATCCTGTCCGGGGTATTCCGTAGGACCGATGTAACCAGGTTTGTTTTACAAGCGAGGGTGGTTAGCCCATCACCTCAACCCCCAATATGAATGGAGGGCCTTACTTCTGGTCATTATAGACTTTACTTCAGTACAGACTTTACTTCAGTACTCAAGTACAGACTGTACTTCTGGTCAGCGGGTCCATCGGACCTAGCCGGGAGGACTGACAAGCAGATCCACCGACCTTCCCCATATCCGCCACCCAGGGGACGCTCCGTATACGCTGAAGTAGGAAAGCGCACGGATAATTTATTACCAGATACATAAAATACTAAGACTAGGTACAAAAGATGTTTACTACTAGATACCTTATTTTGATACATTCCTACTAATAAGTTGGTTCTAACTCTTCTTGATTCATCTTATTCAGGCCTTGTCCTTTTTTTTTCTTTCCCCACGTGTCTTCAATCGTCTCACAGTGTTGTTGCCGAAGTCTTCAGTTTCTTCCTCTTGAAGTTTCTCAGAATTCAATCGCCTCATCCATCACCTCCTACATTTCATCATGTTTCTCAAACGGTATTCCATGGATAATCCTTTGGCACTTTTAAACAATCCTCTCAACTATGTGGATCCTTTTGGTTTTACCGAAGCAATAGTCAGGTCTCTGTGTAGTTCTAATCTCTCATTTCCCCAGGATTTGCTACTTGGTTGCTTACTGTAATGATCTTCTGTAGCAATAGTGACAAGAACAGAAGAATTCTGCCAAGTTTTCACTGGTGTTTCATCTTCCAGAGCTGCTCTACATTCTACCCTCTGGAATGGAGCACATACTCTTAACTTTCTTGATTCTATATTCTTCCTCAAAATAATTTTGGCAGGAGAAAAATTTCATCTTGCATTAATTGAATGTGTCAGTGAATAAATTAAATAAATGGTTTCTATGGAGACATAAAATTATGTAGGCCTACTGTCAACATGCTGTTGTTGAAGAACCTTAGACCTTTTACAATGGACATATCTAGCCATTCCATCCTCTATCTATATATAAAAAAGGCAAAGCCCTCACTGAATCACTCATCACTAATTCTCCTACTTCCCATTTACCTAGGAGACAGAAATTTTGTACGATGATTCTTTAGGCATTAAATAGGAAAACCTTTAAGTAGCATAGTTTTTATTCTGATCTGACTTCCAGGCTCCGCCCCAGTGGCTCTGGAGTTTCCCATGTTAACCTTATGAGTATTCATATTTAAAAGTAATTAGGATGTTAACAGCTGTTTCAATTAAACAAGTTGGTTCTAAGATGTTTAATAGCATTATACAGTTTAAGGTTTACCAACAGGTGGCAGCACTTTTAATTATTTGTTTAAATTAATGACAACAGCTAATTTGAACTATGCAGCAACAACAAGCTTTGATAAGCACGGGTATGGCGGCTAATTTAGTTTCCTAAAAAATACTGATGAAGTCAAATGGGACCCAAGGGTAACAGCTAGTTTCTTCTAAGTTTAAGTCAAACTAGGTGAACCTGTGCGAATTCGCACAAATAATAAATTAGGATATTATAGCAACGTCGATAGAAGTTACGTCGTTGTATCGACGTTGGTCTTGAGCTCGATCGTTGGCTATATGCATTCTAAGTTCATTTGCTGTTCATTAGGAGTATTTTGCAGGACGGAACTAATGCTGAAAACTTGCGTGTATGGATTAAAATCAACCAAATGTTGAGTTAAAATGTGCATGAGTTCAGTGCTGCAAGAACCATTAGCTTTGTTTAGCATTCTTCCTTGAACAGCGGTTTTGACGTCCGTAGATATAAATTTGGGCATATGTGGGATGCTCCCCTTCTGACTGTTGAAAGGTGCCAATTGAGTGATAAATTGTGCACCTTATACATTAAAGGCCCTCCACCGTTATGTCCTTCAATTTTAGCTCGAGTGCTGACCATTGTGAGCGCAGAGTTGTATGATCTAATGTTCTCTTTGTAGTTTCTGCTCAAATGATTTGCTCCATTACGTAGGCTCTGGATTAATAGATTTCTTGTGTTGTTTGTGGTAGATTCACTTTTCCTTTATGGCAGCAGAATAAAATCCTTCACCTCGTCCTCTTTGTTCTTCTTTAAAATGTAGCACACCACATTTCTGACATTTTAATGCCATCTCGCCAAGCGAATGCTACTGAATTCTTGTATTTGTCAGTGTAATTTTGTAAGTACACGTTGCCACTAACAGTTCCAGCTCCTCGTCTGGGCTCCTTACGTTTTGCATTGCTTGCCCTATGTTGACTCACAGTGTCCGACCGGCAATATTTCTTTGTCGTCGGGTCCTTGACATGTTTCAACAAAAATATAATGTAAAACTTTTCTCCCATCGTGTCCTGTAGGTAACATTTCTTTGCCGGGTTTCTAATTATTTTTAAAAACATGCAAACTGTTTACATTTCAAAACCAAACAAAACATCTGGGATTTAATTTTTGTTTAAACTAATGTATTGACATCTGTTTCAAAATATAATAACACTCTTTGTTCTTCTTTAAAATGTAGCACACCACATTTCTGACATTTTAATGCCATCTCGCCAAGCGAATGCTGCTGAATTCTGGTATTTGTCAGTGTAATTTTGTAAGTACACGTTGCCACTAACAGTTCCAGCTCCTCGTCTGGGCTCCTTACGTTTTGCATTGCTTGCCCTATGTTGACTCACAGTGTCCGACCGGCAATATTTCTTTGTCGTCGGGTCCTTGACATGTTTCAACAAAAATATAATGTAAAACTTTTCTCCCGTCGTGTCCTGTAGGTAACATTTCTTTGCCGGGTTTCTAATTATTTTTAAAAACATGCAAACTATTACATTTCAAAACCAAACAAAACATCTGGGATTTAATTTTTGTTTAAACTAATGTATTGACATCTGTTTCAAAATATAATAACATTCAAATCAATCACAATGTTATCCTTATGGAAGGAACTTTGAGGGCAGCCCACGCCCTTAAAAAGACATATTTCGAAAATCGAAAGCCAGTTTGCACATCTACACACCTAGACGAACATTTTGGTATATAATATGTGGGGTTAAATCTTAAAACAAAAAAGCCTTATTGTTCACAAAGTTTCATGTCGCGTATTAAATATATAGATTTAGAACGAAAACAAAATAAATGTATTTATTTAAAATGAACCTTCAACATGGGTCACACTAGGCTAGCATCAGCCATCAATTGAAAGAAGCGACTAATCAGCTTAATGTGACCACAACATTTGCAGCTGGCACCAGTAGCTGGCGAGTATTTGTCTGCGGCTGGCGAAGTCAGACATGTAGCTTTTGGGAGAAAAATATTTTGCGACTATCAGGTCACAAGATTATAACTCAAGGTCAAGATGCACTAGCTAAAGACAGCCAAAAGCGTAGTGTGACCACCTCTAGAAGCGTGCCAGCGGCGATCAAAGCAATGCGGTGGTTTGTTTTGTTTTACTGGTTCTATATGATTATGATAGTAATTTGTAGTGTAGAAGTAACTGAGCTAAAGTGGTCGGGGAAGCAGTATATTATTTCTTTTTATTTATATCAAAATTATCCGTGCTTGTGAGAGGTTTCTTCAAGGGAGTATTTAAGATAGTAACTTCAAAGAAACAGATGAGCTGAGACCCTAGTAATAAATCATAAAAATCGTAAACAAACATCTGATAAAACTTTATTTTATGTGCTCCAAACCAACGGCAGTGAATCAAAAGTAATTAATTATTATAGGCTGTACCGAACCGTATTTGTACTGAGTAAAATACTGTACCAAACCAATGACGGTAATTAGACCAGAACCGTACTGTACTGACTTTTTCGGTGCACTGCAGACCCCTACAATATACTTATCATGTTTTACATAATAAACATTTATTGTTATACTAGCTGTGTACCCGTTCTACGCACGGGGATCTTATAATATTCAGTTGAAACCTTCTTATATAACGAACAGCAGTTGGTTTGCATATTTTAAGATATGCTGGCCAAACTATTATACATAGCTTCATTTTATGTTGTTTTTTGTTGTTCCGGATCGGTATGACAATCAATAAAAGGTTAAATTACCTCTGTGTCTGCCGGTCGATCCTATAACGGTAGGCTTACTTTTATTTTTACTATCTGATCTCGTTTGCATGGCTCAATCACGTCCTGGTTGAAGTTCGTTCGCTACGCTCACTCACCTGTATGTTGGAGCTCGTTCGCTGCGCTCACTTTCCTTCAGGTTAGCTCGTTCGCTACGCTCACTTGCCTTCAGGTTAGCTCGTTCGCTACGCTCACTCGCCTCCAGGTTGCAAATTAACTGTTGTCATAAATGTAAAAGAAATAATAGTGCTAGTGCTGCACCCTGTTGGTAATCCTTGTAACTTTAATGCTATTGAACATCACAGAACAGAACCAACTTGTTTAATTGAAACAGCTGTTAAGATTCAATAATTTCATTTCTCATAAGGTTAACATGGGCTTCCAGAAATTCCACGTCAAAAATCGACAAAAACTTGATTTTCAAGGGTTTACTGTTAAATATCTAACTGTCTCATATTCGATGAAATACGTCTAAAACCATCTCATATATGTATAGTATTTGGAAAATAAGTTTCAGGCGGGACAGTGCTATAGTTATTGAGGAGTAGTTGTAATAAAGTGCGTATTTTAGCGTTACCAAGAGAATGACAGATAGACAGACAGACAGACAGACAGACAGACAGACAGAAATTGAGATAAGGTTTGATTCGGTTTCTCTGACCTATGAAATGTAAAAATAACCAAAAAGTTCATTATTCTAAGCAATGTACAGACAAAACTCTAATTTTATTTATATAGATTTTGATTTATCTTTTCAACATGAAATTGTAAAAATGTACCTAATTACATTTTCTGATTCCATTCTTGTAAAAAACTTAAAAAATAAATCCCCTTCAATTTTTTTTATAAATCATGAGACGAATCAAACAAAATATCAGTTGAACTTATTTCTCTTATGTTTTACATGGTTTTGTCACAGGTGCTACAAAGAGCGAGGCAGCGTACTGGCAAGTCCGACGCACAAGGTGTGACGTGGAACTGTGCGGCAGAGTTTGATGCCAGCTTGGAGCAGGACATTAGTTACGTGGAGGATGGTGCCTATATAGCTCTGCCCAACATCATTAATCGAACTGGAGTCAGGTACATGTAATCTTTTTCTAATCTCTTCCTAGGGCCAAGCTTCAGCCTTTGTTTTGCCTCTGACTGTTGACGGACTTAGACATCCCATTTCACTTTATTTTAGAGTTCTGGGTTCGAATTCTGCCAAATGAAACACCACTGGTGTTGAAAAAAATCTTTAAAAGCTTGTAGCTGTGTACAAAAGGTTCTGACCAGGCGATTTGGTGCTAATTTAAGTTGTTGTCAGGCAAGATGAGTATTTTCACTTATTGTAGAACTCTTTTTTACTGGTTTTATTTACATTAAAAATATTATTGACTTTTATCCAACAGTTTTAAGAATTAAAATGGCAAATCTTTGCCAAATAATTTCCACCCCATAGCGGATTGATTAGCATACTGTAGTTATGAGTATATTTCTGAATCCTGATTACACTGTTACAATTGTATACGGGATAAATAATTGTAATGTTACTTGGTGATATTGTTGTAAGAAAATTCATCTTATTATTATTGTTAGCTGCTCATTTTATATTTTAAGGCAAATTTTCAAAAGAATTTAGAATTTTTATGTTTTGGAATTGCATCTCCAAAACTCTACTATCTTATTCATACTGTTTTCAAGAGCTTGCAAGAACAAAAAACTGCAATGACATTCCAATTTACCAGAAACTTGAGCAATATTTTTCTTTCCGCAGGTGGGAAGTAGAGATCAAAACATCATTTCTACAAGGAGTGTTGCTGTATTCCAGTGGCTTGTCTCCGGGTCGCAGCGATTATGTCGGTGTCGAGGTGTGTTTTAGTTTTTTTTCAATTAGTTTATAATCTAAATCTATATATTAATAGGCAAACATGTGTCTTGAAAACCTTTTTTCTCAGTTTGTGTGAATCACAGGGAAAATCTGCGCATATTGTTAGAGAGATATTTGCCTGTAGATGTGCAGAATCCCTTAGTAAATTGAAATAGGCTAAAAAATAAGCAGAAAAAATTTATTTAAAATAAACAAAATAACATTGGTCTTATGGGTTGCCATGCTGGGGACGAAATAACAATGAAATATTTAAACAGAAATTCAAAACAAATGGAAGAAAATTCAATCACATGTTTTATTTACAGTGTGTGGTGAAAATAGAGAAGTTTGCACAATAATATTTTTGGTCGAGTTTACAACCACAAAGCGACCACTAGTTATTATTAATTTTTAATTTTAGCCTATAACTTATAATATTTACAGTAAAAAAATTATAATTTATAAATATTTTTTTATAATTGTATAATAATTTATAAAAAATGTATAGGCCCTAATTTAATTATAATTTTTTATCAATTTTTTTTATAAGTAGGGCTAGCCTTAGTTGAATCAATTAATTTCTTAATAAGTTAGGCTTGCTATCTTAATCTTAGGTCGCATCAGGCTTATTGTCATTTTTATACTGTAAGCTGTCTCATAACTATTTATTTATTCGTAAAATAAAATTTAGTTCCCAGGCGTTAACGGTCATTGCAATTTCTGATCTGTATTTAACAATACTAAGAGACTGCTTTTCTTAAAGTTAGTTCTTATATTCTAAGTTAGCTTTTACAATTGAGTACTGATCTCAGGTGGTGGGAGGGCAAGTCAGGGTAACCCTGGACAAGGGTAACGGAGCCGTTGAGTTGACCAGTGACACGGGCGTCAGTGACGGAGTGTGGCACAACGTCGCAGTCAAACTGACACCTTCCATCATTGACATCGCAGTGGACGGACACAGTAACTCACTGCGGCTGGCTCACAGCGGGAGTCGATACTTCGATCTGTCTGACACGGTAAATAAAGCTGGCCATGGTAATATAAGGATTTCCTAAATTTCTGTTTGTGCACTTTGCTGGTACTAATGTTAAACAGCTGCCATCAAACTTTGGTTTAGTAGAGATAGAATCTTGCTTATGGAACGACCGTGCGCTTTAATATACTTGTGACGAGCAAGGAAGAGCCTTAACAGCGAGCACAGTGCGACAATTTGTAATGCACAGCTCACATGGTCTTCCTCCACAGTGAGCTTTGTAGTACATGATGGCGAGTGGGGTAGTTGGACTCACCAGATAACAGCCACTAATATTACAATGCATTGCCATGTAGATCACTGGTTCGGTTCAACAGACACCACTTAAGTGTGCCATGGAGTGAGTGTATCCTCTGTTATGCTTAGGACTCTTAGAGTTTATATAGAAAATTAAAACAGCGATAAATTGTTTAAAGAATCATTGTGGACAATTTCCATAAAGAAAATGACAGAAGAACCAAGTACTACTAATAGATGTTAAAACAATAAAATGAATACCTAAAGTAGTTAAGGAATAAGAATAGAGCATAGTTTTGAGGCCAAAATCCTGCCTCATTATTAGAAAATTGAAATAATGAAAAGCTATTAAAGGAATTATTGCAGAAATTTTCAATCACAGTTTTCATAGTTCAGGATCTGGGTTAACAATATGAGTACACAAACCCAGCCAAAGAACCTAGCCAAAGCTGGAAATTCTCTTTATTCCTTGATCTTGAATGAACTTTATTTCTTCTGTTATATTGTTATTTATACAGCAATGGTGTTTGTGCAGGTATACATTGGTGGTATGGAGCTTAACAAGAGGGCCCGGGCATTAGGACAGGGCCTGAAGGCTGCAGATACAAGCTTTAAAGGCTGCATGCGACTTTTGGCAGCCGACGGTAAACGTTTTGGCATCCCTAACGCCAAAGTGACACAGGTAAGCTATACATAGGTAATATTTAAACATTGCATTGAATAGAAGTTTTTCATGGGAGACAAACGTTTAAGATATTTTAGCTGAAATCGGAGGTACCGATCAGCTTTGAATCCAATGGGACTGTTTTCTTGGCAACACGGTACATAACTTAACTCCCAACCGCGTAGCACTAAGCGTGATTTGGAGCACTACCTCGAGAGCAGTTAGCTGCAAACCATGCTGCCGAACTGGTCTATAATTTACACTAGAAATGTGGAAAACACTAGTTTGAGTTATGCTACCAAGTTTACTGTTGATGACGACAGTTTATGGATTGAGTGTGAGTTTGAGTTTGAAGTTCTAATATTTTACATCTAATCACAGGGTATTCTGCCTGAGTGTGTGTGGTCGTACATGTGTACACAGAACCCCTGTGCTCCGGACGCTAAGTGTGTACAACAAGGGGTGGATTCTTTCCGCTGTGAGTGTTTACGATCACACTGTCTTAAAGAGGACTACGCAACATCGTACAAGGTATTTTTGTACATTTTATTTCGTCCTAGTTTAGATTGGTTAGAGGTTATTGTTTGTTGAGAGGTTGGGGCTTAAGGGTTTAGTTTTATGTACTGTAACAATTTTAACAATCATAAAGCAGTAATAAACGGCTTTCTTCTTCATGTTTTATGCAGGGCTAAAGTAGTTATTTTCACTCCTAGGGAGTACATTTTTCTTGATTTGTTAACTAAATTAATCAAAATCATTCTAAATGTCATCAATCATCATTCAAATCAATAAAAAAAAAATGAGAGTTTGTTATTTTGTCTATCATCCAAATTGTTCTTAAACTTCATTTTGTGATTGGAGAGAGTCTCTTGATGGGCCCTTTAGATGGACATGTTACATACTATTTAAAAAAATACAATTTAGTTTTGTCATTGACTTATTTTGGTAGACATATGAACATGCTGTAACAAAATGAGCCATTGAGGAAGTTTGCTACTTTCAAGCACCTATTTCCTCTTTCGGCAAATTTCCCCTATTAGTTTTTAAAACGGTGATAGTTAATTTAGCTTAGTATGCTATGATTACAATGAGTTTTCTTTTAAGTTTAACATAGTTAAAAATTGTCTTGTTCGGCCAGAAATCATTAATTAGCATCAGCATGGTCTGTTGGGGGCTCAAATCAATGTTCATATTTGCTCCAAAAACGGGCTAAAGCTTTAACTTTGGATCATATACTTCTGTCATGTCAAAGGTTATGTATGTTTGGTGAATTTGTCCACTGTCTCGTTGTCTTGTAAAGGTATTCACATCCCTATTGATGACAGGTGTTCTCCAAGACATCGCAACTTGAGTTGGTGGAGTTGTCGCCAGTGAGTGTGGTAGAAGGACAGAACGCACTGTTGACCCCGGCGCACATGAACGTAGTGCTGGACTATGCCAAGTACGGTGTGAGGGACTCCGGCGTGCTGTTCCTGACTGTAGGTGCGCCGGAACATGGCAGACTGGCTGTGGAAGTGTGGGAGAGGGGGGGACAGGGGAGGGACCAGCAGGTGTTCACACTCCTGGACCTGGCCAAGGATAAGGTAAGCAACTCGAAAATTGATGTAAGTTCTAAAATTGATTCCTTGACAAATTGTCATTTTTTTTATGCCATGGCAAAAGTTGGTAACGTTTTGGTAAAAATATAGGCCTACTTTTTTAATAACCATTAAAATGTATAAATAATAACATTAAGGGTATAAAAATAATGTTTTGAAAAACTTTATAGAGTGATGGGACAGGAGATTTTAAAATGTGAAATCATCTGATCAAAGGAAGTTAGATTACGTTTTAGGGCTGTGTTAAGTTAGGTTAGTTTAGGTAGAGTGAAAAGCCAACCTAAAAACAAAAAACAAAACTGACCATTGTAATTTTTTAACTGAACCGGGATGGTCACGAATGTTACCGCGATTGTAGGATACCATCACAGATGTTGCTGCTATTCTGGCATTAACAGTTGTGAAAATCTACTGTAAGTTTAGAACTGAATCAAAATAAAGTAAATAAGAACATTTTTTTTTCTCTATCGTATTCTACTTCAACTCAAGATGTGAAAAAAAAAATGTTTAGGATTACAATTTGTGATTTGAAATCCCTATATTATTTTCATTACCGTCTGTAGTTAGGACAATAGACCGTATCCAAAAACCAACATTTATATACATTAATTCTGTTTTTGAAGGTGCGCTACCTACACGACGGCTCTGAGAGCACACAGGACAGTATTATGATGGATTTGGAGCTTGCGCCAGGTCCCGGGTTTATCATACCCGGGTATCTGCAAGGCAAACACAGGTTCATACTGCACGTGGACATTTCACCTGTCAATGACCCGCCTACTCTCAACATCCCGTCCAGCCGGGTCCTGCGACTTGCTCAGGTAAATAACCCGTCTGTACTATGACATATAAGTGTAGCGTGACTCAGTGAGTCTTCAATCTAGATAGTTTTTGAGTTTGAGATTTTAGTTAAGTTTGTTTCGTTATAGTCATTGGCCATCTGCTGAATGTGATCAGCTGACTACTTGACTGTCTTTGCACCGAAAGATAAATTATTAAATGCTCTATTGATGGATTTAAAGTTTAAGTTAAACACCCAGACCCAGTTATTGTGTTAGTTGGAATAAAGTTACCTGTTGTGTCAAATTATCTTGTTAAGTTGTTGCTTCTTAAATAAAAATGTTTGGTTCCTAAAAGTTCCTACCCCCATTTTACGCCCACGTCATGATGGTTATGACTTATTTTAGTAATGAAATAGGTAAAGAATTTATCTTAACTTCTTAGGGTTTTTAAAGAAGTTAATTATCATATAGTTAAAGCCTGTTAGCCTGCAATCAGATGGTTCAGCGCTTTCACTAATCTGCCATCAGTCTAAAGAATTTTGGTTAAAATCCTTTTTTAAGCCATGTTACTAATTAGCGTGTTTGGGAGTGATCAGTAGGCGACAGGAGCAAATGGTAGACGTCAATTGCACTCGATTGAGTTTGGGAGGGTTTTTTCTATAATTTCCAGCATTTTATATCACTACCGAAATTAAAAAAAAAAACACAATAAAGCCATAATAATGGCTGTCCTGCCTAAGATTTCCTGTTGACACTATAAAATTAACAGTATTTTTTTGAGTCTTGCAATAACAGCTGTTTAGAAGACACTCGGTAATGTGGCACCACCCAAGTCTCGTTGTACCAGATAAGCAAGCATCTTACTGTAGAAGTTTTCATTCTTTTTGATATAGAGAGTTGTTGAACCCAAATTTTATCCAAGCCGTCATATCTTAAAAAATGTACATCTCCATACTAATATTTTGTCAGTAATATAGTTTTAGGGCTTCTGAAATATTTTATTATGGGATAAATTTAAAAAAATGATTGAAAATAAAGTAATGATTACAGGGATATTAGGTATAGTTAATTTTCTTAGTTTGTTTATTTATTTCAAATAACACAATAATAACCAATGGTAGGTGATAAAGTCGGGTGATAAATCAAAGTAATGAGAATAGCAGTTAACAATATAATCAAACAATGGGTCTGTCCTGTAATTTTAGTAAGGTTAGTAAAACTGAGAAAAATTAATAAATCTAGGTAATAGATTTGATTTATGTTTGCACAAGTTAACTTACAACATAACTTTGAAAATGAACCAATGCATTATTGAGGTTGCTATAGTCCTCACCACCCTAACTTGAGGCAGCCCAAGGCCGCACTAGATATACGGCGTGCGGCCTTGGGCTGCCTCAAGTTAGGGTGGCGAGGACTATAACTACTTTTTAGTATGATTTGACATCAGATCTTACAAATTAGTTTTCAATTTATTTTAATATTTTCTTTAGGCCTACTGTTTGTAAAATTGAACTAACTTTCTTTTGAATCAAACTAACATATTTTTTTAATCTTCATGTATTTTTTGTAGGCCTAATAGGTTTATACTTCTTGCAAATACAAATCAATTTAATTTTAATTTTAATTAACCTACATTTCTCTAACAAATGTATATACACTAATGTAAGTTTACTTAATAACTACACTACACTGTGCTAGGCAATTAATGATTAACAATCAATTCAATATTTAATGCCTTATTTGTTTGTTATTGTCCTAACTATAATTCTGTTATATTACTTTTTGTTATTTAAACAATTTCAGTTTTTTGAGTGCTTTTTATTAACCCACTTCAATTTTGCAATGTGTTGAGCATGTTGTTTCTTCTGTTTTGTAGATTAGTTGCAGCTTGTTACAATGCATGTTCTGTGTATTTTTTATATGGACTATTTGAAGGCTCCCGAGCGAACAAAGTGGACAGAAATAACTCTCTAGGTAAATATACCTTTTTTGATTTTTATAAAACCAATTATACTTCTAGTGTTTATTTTGGTAAATTTATAGATAAAAATGTACTAGTCATAATTAACAACAAAAGAACACCATAGAGTTTATTTTTAAAAGTGTATAAATAATTCATTAACTTATTGACTTTCTTTTTTCCAAAATGTTTATAAAAACCTATTGTATTTTGTATGGTTTATGTCCCAAAAAATAATGTCTGGGAAACAAAAGTAGCCAGTTAATGTTTTAAGTTAATACTTTTAGTGGATTAATAATTATTCTCTTAAGCGTTCTCTTCCCGTTTGTGAAGCACGGGTATGGAGGCTAGTTTTATTATATTTATTGAAATTATCATAATTCTCCAATGTAGGTAATTTCAAACAGTTTTCATCCAAAGATAAAGCAGATGTTTTTTGTCACTGTATGCTAATATAAAACCAATCCTTGATTTTGTTACTGGATGGTGTTGAAACACATTTTTTCCACCCTTTAAATAATTTATATATACTTTGTTGAATAGATTTAGTAACTTAAAATTTCAATTTGTTTATTTAGTTCATTGTAAATATTTTAGTAACTATTTATAAACCAAATTACGTTAAAAAATTATTAAAAATGCACCAATTGGCACAAATGTTAAAGAACCTCTTGACTAAGTAGCAAGACTTTATCAAAATGTGAGTTTTGATTTTCTGCTAAAAAGTTTTCCCGGAAGGATCGAAAGGTTATTGGTAGGTTGTTAAACATATTCAGACCAGCAGCTGGGAAAAAGTTTATGAACTTTGTCAGATTGCAACCAAAGAGCATGAAACACAGAGATTAGAACTATTTATGGATGCATGAACTTGTATTTCTATAACTAAATCAGCCCTGCAAAAAATTGTACTTAGTAGAGCTCACAATACAAAGTATTCTCTGAAATTTATCTAAGTATTTGATTGATTATTTTCTCCCACATGATACAGTGTGTTGTCTGTGCAGGGAACTCGTAAGAAGCTCGGCAGAGAGCTGTTAAACGCTACCGACCCTGATACGGTAGCTGACAGTCTCCTATACTCTGTGCTTGGTAATAGCAGTGGAGGTAAGTCTATTATGTGAAGCCAGTTTACAGTACGTATAATACTTGCCGTGCATTTAGATTGAGATGTTATAATTAACAGTCATTTGGATTAACTTTGAATAAGGATTTTGATTAACCGAATAAGGGTTTAAGAATGTAACATAGAGCACAAGGCCCTAGGTTTTTAGCATTTTTGTGGGGATAGCAGGCCCACCTGATTGGAAAAGAGTTCAAACTGGCACAAGAGACACATAACTTTATACTATATACTTTAATACTTTCTTTTGCTTTTGAAATGGCAGAACATTAAAATATTTCACTGTCACTAGCAGCATTTTCAACTAAGAAAGAGGGAACATCAAAAAAATTTTGTTTTTCTTTGGAAATTTACTTGCTGATTCCCAAATTGCAGAACAATAAAATTGATTACAGTTTTTTGTTGTAGGCGTAGTCTGAACAAAATAGAAATATTTTGATCACATCATTACGTAATTGTGATAGGTTTTATTACAATTTTAAAAAGTCAAATGTTATTTGTTTGGTCCATCCAGGTATCATAGAGAGAACAGACAACCCTGACGTGTCCATAACGTCGTTCACTCAAGCAGAGGTTGACGATGGAACCATCTATTACCGTCACACACGACGCGAGCCTGGCAACTCTAAATTGGCTCTGCAGGTAACCTTATAGTATTGACTTTGAACACCGAAACTCATACCTTTCCCTCGTTAATGAACTTTTCATATTTTGTCAAAGCCATTTGAAAATTCTCTAATTTTATAACGCTGCTCACTGCTCGTTTCCGAAATATTTCTTACTTCAGCCAAAGAGCTTAGAACCAGTTTTCTTTCGAGTAGATAGTGTAAATCTGAACATCCCTTGGCACAACAAGGTCTTGGTGAATGACGAATGTACCATATCAGGTTAAAGAAATGAATTTTTTGTGTGCGTTTTTATCAAAAATTTGTTTGTAAGTGAGTTATTTGCTGAAGGAGAAACCGTGTCGTCAGTTTACAATTCCTCCCATATGTTTCCACCTTAATTTGAATACTCGTCCTCAGTGGCTATGCTGAAAACCAAGTATTCTAAACCAACTGGGAGTTCGCTTAGCCTGCAGATTTTCTGTTACCGAGGTTATTTTGATCTATTTGTCACAATTTGTAGGAATATATGTAAGCTAAAATATTTCAAGTAAGTTATATTTACATGATTTCTTAATTTTGTTCAAATATTTTTCTTGTTTTATTTATAAGTTTTACAATTAAGTGTTTTATTTGTTTTAAAGTCAGTTAAAAAAGAAATTTCAATTGCAGGTGTCAGATGGCATAGACACTAGTCCTGTGTCGTTTCTCCACATTTCCGTGTTTCCATTACAACTTCAACTGGAGAACAACACGGGCGCTGTTCTCACGCACAACTCGTGGACAATGATCAGTCCTGCCAACCTTAGCTATACTACCAACGCTGACGATCCTTCACTCCTCGTACACTACCAGGTATACCAACTGTGGTAACGATTACTATTTACCAATTACCAGTTACTATAGAGACTGGGAAAAGATCCCAAACAAGAATGAAGAATGAATGTATGAGAGCTGTTCAGAAAGTAAAGAACTTTTCCGTTTGACGCCGATAGCACATGCTATTGCACATTTTCAAGTAGACAAATGTTAACCTACTCAATGACTGCCCAGCTGTCACAGCGGAAGTCTCATTTTGCTGCCCCTTGTCACAATATTAATGATAAAATTGTGCTGCAATTAAAAATCCCACTAGTTTTGAGATGCTATCTGTGTATGGTTTTTGGTGGGCGTTAACATAAAACGTAACGAAGTTTATCATCAAGTGCATGAAGTGTTCAGAAATAACGTAATAAATGAAAGTTCTGTTCAGAAATTGTGCATTCAGTTTCAAAATGGCCAAAGCAAAGTTGACGTCCAAAATTGGTTTTTGCATGACAATGCAAAAGAGACACAAAGAACAAAGAATCAAACACAAGATCTCGTTTATTCAATCAAATGGAAGATTTTCCCACAAAACCAACCTCTGGTGGGAGACCAGATCTTGCTTTCAGTGACTTTCACTGGTTTACAAATTGAGTGTTTTGGCAACACAGTGCTTTTGACTAAAGAGCTCCAATTGCGTGTCACCGAGTGGCTGAGCTGGCAGGCGGTGAAAATTTACGACAAAGGAATTTCAAAACTACCTCATAACTTTATTTAGTTTCCTTGATTTTTATTGCAACCTATTTTGTCTTGTACAAACCTTTTATTTGATTCCAAAATGTTCTTTACTCTCTGGACAATCCTTGTAGAATCTCAAATACTTTTTGTAGCTTTGATAGTGACTAAAACCAGCTGCTTCTTTAGTCATGACCAAATATTAAAAGCCTAATGATCAAGGACATTTGGGCCCAGTTTCTAACAATCAAAAATTCATTGGTTTTTCTCAGGATCAAACGAGCTTTCGACCTCACCTAGCTGCATTTTTACCAGTGCCACTATTGGTAAATAGGCACCATACTAATAGTGTTACAGATTTTTTTTGTACATATTAAAAGTGTTGCCAGTTGATCAAAACTGTATAACATATGCTATAACGTTATTTATCGTACAAAGGTGGTGAGTGGGCCGCATTGTGGGACGCTACAGAAGCAGATCTTGGCAGGTCAAGACTCGTGGTACAAAGTGGACAGCTTCACCAGCCACGAGCTGGCTCTGGGGGAGATCAGATATGTGGCGTGTGCCGGTACACCTCGCCAGGACAACTTTACGGTAAACTACCCAGTGGTTACAAACTTACAGTTCCAATGCAAAGTAGGCTATGGTTGAAGTGTCTGAACCTGGGGTCTAGTGGTAGAGCACGAGACTACGGTCCTGAGGTCTGAGGTCCCAGGTTACAATCCCGACAAATCATAATCATTTATAATGCAGCAAACCCTAGGTATAGTCTGAAGTAATGTGAAAAACTTTTGTTGTAAAATGTGATATTAAATCAACTTTGGTAATAATTAACTGATTCTCATTATTATGAATGTTTCAAAATTTTCAATTGATTCACAAAAATATGTGCCAGAATCGCAGCATAATTATCCAAACTCAAACTATCCGAATCGCCATTTATTCATATCCACCAGAATTCCTTCTTAAAGAAAGCATTATAAAACCCTAAAACTACAGTACTGTATTATTAAGAATCGTCATTAAAAAGGCAGAAGTCATGATTGCAGCAAAATCCTGAACATCTGCAGTTATGGACATCATTATTGTCTTCTGTGGTCAAAGGAAATCATAATTTTTTCTTACGTTAATAAAAGTAACATCACCAAAATTTAAGAGAAAATTAAAAGAACACCTAGTTGAGAGAGCATTATACTCACTAGATGAGTTTTTAAATAACTAACAGCCTTAAATTTAATATTTGCCAACAGAAATGGTGGTGTTTATAACATCATTGTACGTATTGACAGAAATTGTATTATAAGGATTAGTTTTAAGAAGTGACGCATGTTCAATGTACTTACGCTACAAAACAATGAATAAAGAATGTTTTGACTTTGACTTTGACTTTGAAAAGTGTGAATTTTTCTTACTTTGCAGATGCGTAAAACAATAAAATACCCCACATTTTGGTAAAAATCCAATTATCCAAAATTGTAATTATCTGATTGGGGTATGGTCCCAAGTAGTTCTACTGTATGAGATTGAAGACTTGAATTTTGAATCCAGCTGATCAAATTTTCAATTCAATCAGGTTAAATTTAAATTATATTTAAAGTTTTGTGGATTAGAGTTTCAAGATTCAACTTGGACATACGTTATTAACATTTGCGAAATATGTAGTTCCATTCCAATACTAAGTACGTCAAGATAACTAGATAATTTATCATGCTAGACAAGTATATGTAGTTGTCAATCACTGGAGAAATTCTAGTTATTTCTATTTTTGACAGATGCAAGTATCAGCTGCTGGCGTGGTCGCACCGTCCAAGCCCACGTTCAAACTGACGTTCACGGAGTTGCATTTGCAGAGTGTCAACAACGCAGCTGTAGTGCTGGATAGTGTAAGAGATGCTGTGGTTACTGAGGCTAACTTGCTGTACACCACCACCCCACTGCCTATAGACCCCACCACACTCACCTACGAGGTAAAAATACTGTAGACTTCATAATTTCCTTGTTTTCTGTGAAAGAACTCTATATGGTTTAGGCCTAATGGTTTTTTCCCCAGAGGACAAAAACACCATTAGTACAAATAATATTTTTATTATTATATTATATATTCATAAATACCAAAATCATATATATAGCAAGAAATTTGGTACAAACGTGGAATTAAGACTATTTGAACAAGTTCACAAACCAGCATGACCGGTCCATGTGAACGGGATTTTATAGGTTTGCTCAGTCTGCAGCTTTGCTGCGGCGGGATTATTAGTTTGTATACTATTTTAGGTTCAGTCAGCTGTACATGAGTAGTGTATCAGTAGTTTTGAAATACTATCTCAAAGTAGTATAAATACTAAATAGTGTAAAATTGGCCTCAATAAAGCCATTATGTCAACAGGTGGTGGGTCTGCCGAGGTATGGAACTTTGTCAGTCAACAACTCAGTGCTGCGGTTGTCAGATGTGTTCAGTCAGCAGGACGTAGCCCAGGGCAGACTGAGGTACAAGCTGCTCCGCACCGCGTACTCCCACGTCACTGACGGAGTCATGTTCCGAGTGTCCGCTCCACAGTGTCAGGCCCTGGCTCCAGACAAACTCCGGTTTCTCCACACACCTCCGTCCCAACTGCTGCAGAGAGTTAGCGTTGTGCTTAACATACTCAAGGTATGGTTTTTTTATTTTGTTTTTATTTTTTATATGATGAAACAAGAGTTTTTGCTACAACTCTGATATCCTTGATCTGCCTCAAAGTTGTATTTTAGTTTTGTCTCGGATGTCCCCAAAAACCTACAAAATTTAAAGATCCATAGTTGGTTTGTATAAATTATTCCTGATTTAAATGTTTTATATTTCTTTCTGAGAAAAAATGAATTGTCTGTAGTGTACTACTAGCTATTTTTATGCGATAAGTGAGGTTAGAAGTAGCTTGAGCTATGTTTTCAGCTCATGACATTTTATTGTGAACTGTGAAGTGCAAAATCATCAAAGCTAAGTCTTTTGTCAGCTGACTACAATATGTCTTGTCGTTACATGTCTGCTGCAGCATATGTTAGATAATTTACTTAACTTATATACACGTAAAATTTCCCTGCAATTTGCTGGTTAGGTCCCTGAAATCCCAAAATAACATCACACTTTTGTATGGGTGATGCTGTTGACACTCTGTAAAATAATTATTTCCTTACTTTTCTCCTTTTTCCCTACTCGCTTAGGCACACATAGCTAAGTATAAATTTGGTCACATCAACAAAATACTTCTAATGTCTATTCAAAGACAATTTTTAATTTCTTACTTTCTCCCTGTGGGCCAGAAGGGTGCAGGCTGTACCCGTGAGTCGTTTAACTAACCTGTAAGTGGGTTAAGTGCTGCTCATGTGATTGGTATGCTTCAGGTGGTGGAGGGTGGATCAGCCCTGCTAAGTCATGCACACCTAGACATCAGCATGCTGGGTCTCAGTTCGCTGCAGTATGAGTTGACTCACGCCCCGGCCCATGGCTGGGTGGACGTGGTCGGCCAGGACGGAAGCGTCAGTCGCCCCAACACCTCCACCTTTACAGCGGCAGAGGTCGGCCAACACAGAGTGCGGTACACTCACGATGGATCAGAGACGCAGAGGGACGTGCTGCAGTTTGTGGCTGTGTCTACCCGAGAGGAGGACTTTCTGGTGAGATTTTTAATGGTTATGTGAAGGCTAGTCTTGGTTTGAATTGAAATATTATTATTCCTTTTTTCCAAATCAAAATCCTATATCTTTTTTCCAGAGGTTTCTTTTAATTTATGGGGTTTTATTGGGGGCTCTTATCTCTCAGGTCAAGGTCAAGGTCAACTATCAATAGCTGTCAATAGCTATCAACAGCTTATCATATGTCTAGTTTTACTATTTTTATGTAATCATTATTGGCTATAGTACGCATTCCTAATTCAACGAGTTTTAGGAAATGTCCATTTAACCGGAAAACCTATTATCCTGCTTTTGTCCCGAGTAGTCAGGATAAGAGGAAGTCTACTGTACTCACATCTAGACTAACCTAAACCCTTAATGTTGCAGTATGTGGGAGAGCTAGAGATCGCAGTGAACCTGACCAATGACAACGCACCAGTGAGAGCTGTAGACAGAGTGTTCAGAGTGGTGCAGGGCGGTGAGCGGCTGTTGACCGGACGAGACCTCAGGTACATAGACGCTGATGTGGACTGTACCCCGGCCAACATACTGTACACTCGCAAGGACATCACCAACGGAGGAATCTACGCGGCTGACGAACCCAACTCACCGCTCTACCAGTTCACACAGGTATGAAACATATTTGGAGGATGTTCAATTTGGTAATATTAAAACTACTGTGTAAAAACTCTTGCTCTTGTTAGTTTGCTAACTGTAACAAAACATCAAACATTTCCTACCGTTACATACTAACCTCAAGCTCTATTACGATCGCAGGCAGACCTGGACGCTGGCCGGGTGCTGTTCCGCCACAGCGGGGAGACGGAGAGCCGTGTGTTGTTGTTGGTGAGTGACGGAGTGCATCACACGGAGGGAATGTTGGAAGTCAATGCCAGTCCTCCGTATGTGGAGATTGTCAACAACACCAGGCTGGTAGTGAGGCAAGGCGGTTCTGCTGGTATCACATCCCACAATCTGTACACTGAGACCAACGTCAACCTGGCACACCAGCAGATCAGGTGAACAATTCTTTCAGATGATTTTTATATTCATTGCCTTGAATATGGCACCAAAAGTACTAACGTTGGTGAATAGTGTTTCATCTATTTCGATCTGGTAGTTGCCTGTATACCAACTTATTCATTTATCCTAATTTTTAATATTTCTGTTTAACATGTGAAACATGACTTGTAGATTAATTCACAAAGTAAACCAAACCAAACTATGTATTTTTATTCTAGGGATGGACAAGTACAGAAAATCCAGAAAATGTTTGGGGAAAATATATTTTTTTATTTTTTTTCAGGATTACATTTAATCTGAGATTTTCTTAGAATTTGAGGTGTTCTGTGTCGGAATTTTTCCTGAAATGCCAAGTGACCATGATGATATCTCCATACCTGCTGGAGGTGTTCACGATTTTACCAATAAATAATGCAAGTGATAGTGATGATGTTTTACGCGATTGCGGAGATAATGATGATTTAGCCACTACCGTTGGTGACGATAATGATATCTCCTTAATCACGGTAGACAATCGTCATTTCGACCGCTATGATGGTTTTGGTAGGCGATGGTGATGTTTCCGCAATCGTGAGAGATGATAACAAATTCGCCGTGTTTGCAAGAGATATTTACAATTTCTCTTTGGCAAGTGATAATGACGATGTCCCTCTGTTTGCGGGAGATAGTTAAGATGGTGCCTGACTATGGATTACAGTCATAATGACTTAGAACAATGAAATACAGACTGAAAATTGATTTTGCCATTTTCACTTAAGTAAGATTTTGAAAATTAACTGTAGTTTTCTGTTGCTCTGGAAGAAAAATCCTATACCATTCTCATTTCAAAATTAGAAAAAAGTATTGAAATTCAGTCCCGTCCTAAACTTAAAGTTGTATCTCGTCCATCCTTATTTTATTGGAAAACATATCTGTAAGTCTTTACTACATAAATTAATACCCTTAACAAGTTAGCAATGCAGTTGAGTTCAACATGGTATCATTGTAGGTTCGACGTGTCCGATGGGCCTAGTCAAGGTGTGTTGGAGCTGGAAGGCAGTCTGGACCCTGTGAAGGTGTTTGTGCAAGACGACATCATCAACAACAAGCTGTCATATCGACACAACGGAGATGTCACCAGTGTGCAAGACAGCTTCCTGCTCAAGGTTTGAAACACCTTGAGTCTTGATAACCCATAATCAATATGGTATTTGTATCAACTTTAGATACTGCATGAGAATGAACCATTAGGTTCAAAACCATGATTGCTTTGCCAAGAAACAGAATCACTCAATAGTAAAACAGGTATTTTCAACCTTGGAAACATGAACCAGATGCTACAAATGATTAAACTCTATTCTGTTGCAACAATATCATCAGAGAGACTTGTATGTTAGACATGTGAGGAGACTCTGTGAATGCTAGCATTTTTCTTGCTCTAACATGTTTCAACCTGTTGCCAGGTGTCAGTGGAGGGTGCAGAAACCTCAGCTCAGTTCCAGGTGAGAGTGTTCCCAGCTGGTTACTGGGATCCGCTCACTGTTGCCAACAATCAAACTTTGCACGTTGAAGAATCCACGAGTGTGCCTATCACAGAGGAATACCTTCAGGTTTGTTGAACGTTGAAGATGTTGATTAAAATTGCAGGATATTGTGTTTATTCAAAATTTCATCTTCATTGAAGTGGAACTTAAAAGTGTCGATTTAGTTTAAATTGACTCTTTTAACGGTCCAAGACTGGTATTTACTTTACTTTCAGAAGAAAATCATGAAGTTATCTTGTGCTTTGTTAAACATAGGAAACAAAACACTTTGACACTCTCTACAGCTTATGTCTGGTGAAGAATCTGTCTAATTAAGAAGAAGGTATACTAATTTAAATGTTTTCAAATTGGTTCTAAGGGATCTACAATGGTAGTTTATTACGTTATTTTAGTTACTATCATTTTGAAATTTACAAATGTACACACAAAATCTATTCCTACAATAATTCATAGATATTTTCTGACTTTTAACTCTATCACAGTATAAGATTTGTGTTGTCGCCTGCTCCATAACATTCTGTTAACCAAGCCGGGACAATTGTTGCTAATGATTAAAAATGTTTATTTTGATTTCAGCTAACCCCAGTTTCGGTTAAACGGGGTGCAGTTAAAATGGTTTTTCTGAGCCAATCAGCTTTTAAATTTACACATTATTAAACTCTTTAATCTTACTCGATAGGTGAGGCAGCCGCACGTGCCCCCGTCGGACATCACATACCTGGTGGTGGAGCCGCCCCGCTATGGCTACTTGGACTTGGATAGTGACGAAGCAGTCACTACCTTCAGTCAGGAGACGGTCAACTCTCGACGACTGCATTACGTACAAGCTGCGGCCAATCAGACAAGGGATCACATGGTGCTGACAGTCACCAATGGGATTACACAGCTTACCAACCTGCTGGTATGTGTGATAACCAGGATAGTTGTGTGATGGAGTTTGGAACTTTGGGAGAGTTGACGAATATTTGTTAAGAAATATCAACTTATTGGGCTCACTGAGCTTTAAATCCCATGGGATGCTTGCATAGGTTCTAGAAGTCTGTGGGCCTGACTTTTACCTCGGCTCGAGTCATAAATTTTGGCCTTTGGGTCACAGGCCAAAATCTCGGTTGGGCCGAGATCAGGTTCCTTTGGAAAGATTCAGTATTAAAAACATGAATTGTAATACTACAATCAGTTTAACAATTTTGTCCACTATGCATAATCATATGTTTTGTTAGATTGGAAATTTAAGATTTTTCTGTTTTACTGTACAGGTAAGTTTCCTGGTGGTGCCAGAACGGTTGTACATCGGCGGAGGAGAGTTGCGGTGTGAGGAGGGGGGGAATGTGACCTTGCCTCCCTCTCTTCTGCCCCCCCTCACCGAGTACTATGTAGGCAGGCTGACAGAGTACCGGCTGGCACGACCACTGCACCACGGTCGACTTGTGTCTGCAGCTCAGCCAGCGCGCACCCTCACTCGGTGGAGTCCTCAGCAGATGCAGGCTGGCTTGATACAGGTGGGTTGACTGTTCCATCAGCTGAAGCCAGGTTTTTATTCAAAGAGTTACTCTATCAACAGCCAAGGAGAATACACATCCATTCATTTATGATTTTTTCTTGATCACAAAAAACTCTTAAGTAAAAATACTTGTCACCATATACACTCATATCGAAAAAATAGAATATTCTTTTCAACGGCCCAAACAATTTAGATTAAAATTTAGTATGTATGTCATAGTCCTTTTAATTCCAATCAAAATGGTACAACCCCAATTGCTGTAAAAATTACGGTTTATAAGTTATTGAAACTTTCGTGATTTTCCCCATAGAATTTCATAGTTACTTCAACCACCGCTTACCCTTGATAAAGCGTTGTTGACAAGTAGGGGTTTGCGAAGCAGCAAACAATTTTTTATTCGAAGCAACGATTCGATTCAAAAGATTTTCGCACAAAAAAGCAACATGCCTATTTTTCTATTCATACTGGTCAAAGAATTGAAGTAACAATCTTTATTAAAATTTGCCACTTTTGTGTAATCCAAATTTTTATTGATGTAGTATTAGGCCTATTCATACATATGGCTTATAGAAGACTTTTGGTGAAAAATATTTATTTTCAAATATATATGATGTTTTAGAATCTGTATTCATATACGATATTATATCAGTATATCCATATACATTATTGAATTGTAAGGTACCAAATTTTAAGGGGGGTAAAAACGTACTACGAATAAATGAACACCAGAACTTACCCGATTTTTAACCACAATAGCCTACTCCGAGGCCTATGTGTTGGCCATAGCTTGGGCTATGGGCCAAAGAACGTAGGCCTATTTTTATTCGCAGTGAAGTAAACAAACACATCCACAACTACATATTTTTATTCTTAATAGCACTTCGTTTCACATAATAAAGTTAAACCGGCCGATTTTACAGACATTTAACGCCGCCGACGACATAACCCCAAACTGGTGTTTATTTGTTGACAGACGACAGACGAAACTAGACCAGCTCAACAAGTGAATTCGATCAGCTGTTGTCTAGTAGTACTTGAGTTCGCCGCTTGAGCGCGTAAGCCTCGAGCGGGCAGGAACGAAGGATTTTACTCAAAGACAGGATTATTCGTTCGTACGCCGTCTTCGAAGTAACTTCGTCGTTACATTCGCCTGTTATCAACGCTTGCACGATCATCGATAATTTGTTTACCGAAGGTTAGCTATATTAGATAATCACATTACTACGATTTACGTTTAAATTTCCGTTTAACATTCGTATTCCCGTTTCCAAATTCGATTTTCAATAACTAAATTTAATAACGTAAATTTCGCCGACTTGATTCTCGACCCGCCAGTTCCTGCTTGCCAGTGACTAGCGGTGATTATCGTTTGGTTTGATTTAAACCAATTAGTTTCAAAATTACGATTTCTACGAATGATTAACGTAGGCCTACGTTTATTCTAATTAGTTCGCCGTTTTAATACCCCGAGACTCGTCGTCTGAGTTCTAAACCCCGTCTTTGGCGGGTGAAAGAATCGAGTCTTGGGAGCAGGCTGAGTTGAATAATCAGCTACAAAAATTAGTATTAAATTTATTTTAAACCACTCACGTTAAATTATCCGTCCAATTATATTAATTAGGCCCCGACGACTCTGTAGGAATTGCTTTTTACATTAGATTCGATTTTATTATCCACCACCGTCTTTAGCCAGATAGTTTACAGTTTAATACGAGTATTTATATCACATTGGCTTAAGATTGAATACTCGTCGGCCCTACAGAGTCATTCTAAAAGTTAGGCAAAATTCTCCAAAACACGTTAGCGAAGGTGAGGATGAAATAGCTCCTACTGAGCGTCTGCAGGATTTCCTGAGCGCTTCTAGAGCTCTGAGCCTTCGATTAAATTTAACTAAATTGATCAGTCAAAGCCGTGACAACTTCGTATCGACCCCTGGATTTTTTCTCGGCTCCTTCTGAGCGCTCCGGGGAAGAAATTTGAGTGTGGCCGGTTCTAGGGGTAGGCCTAGCCTGACTTAGGTGAATACTAGTTTATTCCCCCCCTAGAATTTTGCGTCACATCTCTGGCGCCCGAACATTTGGACTCGATAACACGGTTTTGACTTTGATATTTAAACGAAATTACGAGATAAACGAAATCTACGACGACTTCGACTACTACGACGACCATTACTCGACCCGAACGTTATCGATTAGCCACGTAACGATAGACACGGTGGAAATTCAAACGTCGACGACTACAACTACGACGAAATTTCCGAAATAATGACTTCGACTATGGAGAGCTTACCGAGATCGCCGATAGACGACCCGCGCGTCGGTTGGATCCACACTTTGAGCGGACGATAATAGCTGAGACGACGAAGTATTAGCTGGGAACTGGGAGTAGCGTCGCCGAGCTTCGCAAACGCTGTTGCGAGTCTTTGGAAAACCCGTTGGGAAGCATCGGTCAGCCGATGAACCCGACGGTGACTACGATATCGTGGACTACCGCTTATGCGGCCCATGATAGCCGAATTTGACCGCAGTTGCTGAAACCTCCAACGCGCCAGGAGACGGCCAGCATGCGAGATATATTCGGGACTCCCACCGAACATTCTTCACCCGTTCGACGAACCCTCGAAGTGTTGTTAAAGCTGCCAGCCAACATCCCGTCGCCCTGGCAAGATATTCCGTCGCGCATCACGTTTTTCGGTCCAACGACGGAACACGATCACCACATAACGTTCGATAGACACAATGATTTACCCGACGCCGTACGACCTCCGAGTGGAGCCGTTTGCTCCATTTCATAACACAATTCACGGGAACCGTCAGCCGCGAACGCGCCCCCAGAGATTACCGACCCTTCGTCAACGTGGTCATCTCAGGTGAGACGTTCAGCGCCCTCGTCGATACCGGCTCGTCAGTCAGTCTGATTGGAGATCGTACGTCACTTTCGGACGTGCGTCGTCGTACCCGACCAGACTGACGTCAACCAACGAATGGACAACGCAGCGTGTGTTTCGGATCGATACCGAGTAGACGACGATTGCTGGCCAACCTTATTCGCGGGATATCCACGTCCCGGGCCTAAGTGTGGAGGTGGTACTCGGCATTCGGTGTACTGCTGACCTCGCTCTAGTCAGAGTACACACCGTAGTACGAAACCTCCACAACGACGATGTCTCCCCGCCCTTTCCGGTCAAAAACATCAACCACGAAATCAAAAATTTTCAAAATTACACGGAAAACAAACACGAAATTCGCAGAATTTCTGGAACACGAAATACCGCTGTTTGACAACGATTAGGGGTAGTCGGCGTTGACTGAGCAGACGCAGTGGCTCAGGGCAATTGCAACCCCTGTCAAACAGAGGTATCCCAGAAATCCTGAAACGCAATTTATCGTAAAGGACGCTTTCCCGAGGCAACCCGTGGCAAACGGGGGCCAAACGGACCTGGCCACGGTGAGTCACCTCACATCGGAGGTGGCCGACGTGCCTCGTGAACGTTCCAACGTACTAATTCGCCGAGACCGGAAAGACGACGCATCGAGGCTACCGCGACGAACGACGGCCAATCGGGCCTTGTCGTGGTGAGTCACCTCACATCGGAGGTGGCCGACGTGCCTCGTGGACGACGCCCGACACGACGTAGATTCTTCAAAACCGAAGAGCCGACCGAACAACGCAACGAACTCCGACGCACGCCCCGACGGAGCTGGTGTGGTGATATCCCTCCCGTTGGTTGATACGATACGATACGAACGATTACGACTAAACGACGACTTCTACACGCACTCCTTCTTCGAGACCATTCCGACCCCGTCCGAACCCCTACGTTTAAGATATTTTTTTCTTTTTTTTTTGCTGAAGTTGGTAAGGGGTGTAAGGTACCAAATTTTAAGGGGGGTAAAAACGTACTACGAATAAATGAACACCAGAACTTACCCGATTTTTAACCACAATAGCCTACTCCGAGGCCTATGTGTTGGCCATAGCTTGGGCTATGGGCCAAAGAACGTAGGCCTATTTTTATTCGCAGTGAAGTAAACAAACACATCCACAACTACATATTTTTATTCTTAATAGCACTTCGTTTCACATAATAAAGTTAAACCGGCCGATTTTACAGACATTTAACGCCGCCGACGACATAACCCCAAACTGGTGTTTATTTGTTGACAGACGACAGACGAAACTAGACCAGCTCAACAAGTGAATTCGATCAGCTGTTGTCTAGTAGTACTTGAGTTCGCCGCTTGAGCGCGTAAGCCTCGAGCGGGCAGGAACGAAGGATTTTACTCAAAGACAGGATTATTCGTTCGTACGCCGTCTTCGAAGTAACTTCGTCGTTACATTCGCCTGTTATCAACGCTTGCACGATCATCGATAATTTGTTTACCGAAGGTTAGCTATATTAGATAATCACATTACTACGATTTACGTTTAAATTTCCGTTTAACATTCGTATTCCCGTTTCCAAATTCGATTTTCAATAACTAAATTTAATAACGTAAATTTCGCCGACTTGATTCTCGACCCGCCAGTTCCTGCTTGCCAGTGACTAGCGGTGATTATCGTTTGGTTTGATTTAAACCAATTAGTTTCAAAATTACGATTTCTACGAATGATTAACGTAGGCCTACGTTTATTCTAATTAGTTCGCCGTTTTAATACCCCGAGACTCGTCGTCTGAGTTCTAAACCCCGTCTTTGGCGGGTGAAAGAATCGAGTCTTGGGAGCAGGCTGAGTTGAATAATCAGCTACAAAAATTAGTATTAAATTTATTTTAAACCACTCACGTTAAATTATCCGTCCAATTATATTAATTAGGCCCCGACGACTCTGTAGGAATTGCTTTTTACATTAGATTCGATTTTATTATCCACCACCGTCTTTAGCCAGATAGTTTACAGTTTAATACGAGTATTTATATCACATTGGCTTAAGATTGAATACTCGTCGGCCCTACAGAGTCATTCTAAAAGTTAGGCAAAATTCTCCAAAACACGTTAG